TCAAAAAAAATAACGTGAATGGAGAGACTTGACCATGTTCTCGACTCAGCGTGTATGGTCGGTGTAATTGGCCACTGCCCCAACTGAGCTGGCGATGTACTACTGAGGATATCTCAGATGGGGTAGTATCTCGGAATCGCAACCTTCACCCGAGTCTGTAGTCATGCTAGTATTTCGAGTTAATACTTTGATCTGGGCAAAGACGGGATACAATACGAAGGATCAAGCACGGCCAAAACGACGCGCGTGAGCTAGCATTGTGGGCTTGCCTGCGGGATGTCTATTGCATGGGGTTTACCCGCTGCCTTTCCATCTTGACAATTGGCACTGAGCGGGGATTACAACTGTGCCCCCCGCAGACCTCAACCCGGTGGTCTGGATGACACAGAACTGAGACGCCAATGCCATCTCCCCTGAATCTTCTGGCAGTCATACCTATGCCATAGACGCCAGCTCGTGTTCCTGTATATAACAACCCAATGCAGTCTTCTTGCAGACTTCTTGCATTTCATGGCCGTAAGGAGGCGGCGCAGAATTGTGATCACGAATCATTTCCGGCCCCGTGCAACAGACCCGGCATAGCAGGCCTCAGCAGGGTCGAAGACGACTTTAACCGCTGGGAATCAATTCAGACTTGGATCAACTCCTTCCGAATTTGGAAGTTCGTGTTGCGTTTCTCGCTTCCCCACTCTAGGTTGCCGTATGGGCCGCATACTCAGTTGAGGCGTATCCAGAACTTCGGGCTACGCTTGGCGCGCGCTTACGGCGGCCCTCATACTGGGAGGCGATGCGAGCACACGTATTGATATACTTCATCATGCCCAACCGTCAAGATTTCCATCGGACACTACATCGTTCGTCTCACATCGCATTGATTATTCTGGCTCAATTGCCGCGCACTGACTGTGTGTTAATTATCACCCCAAAGCATCACATTGAAGAAAAGTTGGGTCTGTTTGATTCAAACGAAATGTGCTACCAACGTATCTTCGTACATGAACATTGCGGCTGCGAATGGGACAAATACAGCAATTTCTGTGGTGACCATGATACGCCTGGTCACCTCGTCGAAGATTGGCCTGTCCCGGTCGACAAACCATGCGATATACATCCCGGAGGCACCCCGCTTCTTCTGGCCTACTATCTTCGGGCTGCTGAGCTCGAGTATCTCGAGTACTGCCAATCAAGCGAAGATACGAGTGAGAGCTCCGAAGTCCAGTCACAAGAGATCGATGCAGATGACGGCCGCCGAATCCACTCCAAGAATGAGGTACCGGAATCAGAAGAAAGCCGGCAAAGAACGGCACACAATGAATGGCAACCGACTGTCATACCATCCACCGACAGTACTTCTTGTCAGATCAGAGAGAAATCAGGCGTACGCACTGAAACCCTCTTGAGTGAGGTTCAATTCAAGGCGAATCTACTTAATGGTGACCCTCAGCCGTCTCTTGTGCCTGAGCACGTCGGCTGTTACGGCAAAACGGAATCACCACCACCACCAACGGCGCAGCGTGGCATCTTGTACGTCAAATTCGCTTTTCTAAATTGTTCTCTCGATTTCCAAGTTTCTTGTCGACTTTTTCTCACATTAAGCTTTAGGCCTGGTGCGGGCTGCTTCAGGGCTGCGTTTTCCAGAGCGCGAGAAGACATCAAGTTCCCAGGACATGGCGAGACATGGAGTGGCATCATCATATGATTTACTAAGTAATTGAATGGTCTCTTGCTCTTTCTCTTCAAGCGGACTTTCTGGATATCGGAGCAAATGAGATGTACTTTATGCGTTTTTTTAGGAAGAGAAACTGATTCATGTCATGAGAATGCTTGGTGTTCCTCCGAAAGAAAGATCGGATTAGTCTTCAATGGCCAAGTCTCATACATTAACAACGTCGACTTAAATGTCGTCAAGTGCGTTCATGTGGTCGAAGCAAGGCGCTACGGGATGAATGAGAGAAATCGTGCTGGGTAAAAATGGACGTAAAAGGCTGGCATCCCACCTATAAACTTCAATCCAAACCCAAGCCGTCGCTCAAGTCATCTCAACTCGCTTATTCGATAGGCTGGTTCATGTTCATTACAGGGGGGCAACCCAGTTTCAAATGCGACATTAGTGTTGGGCTAATGACATGTGGTAACCAGTCGAATCGACCCCCTCCATAGCTTGAGTTCAATTCGAATTCTTTGCGCGCGCTTAGAGATCCGTGGGCTTAAAGGCGTCCATCAAATCGATTTCGGATTTTTCATCACAGTGTATAAAGTAACGAACTAAAGTCAACCATAATTTTCCTCGCTATTTGCGTGCAGATAACCCCTACCCACAATCCTTGGTGCCAGCTATTGCGCCCCGAAATCGTTACATCAAACTCTCACACAACAAATCTTAGCCACATAGCTCGCTATCATGTGCTGGAAACCGTCGATGGTCCACCAAGGATGCCATTGTGTTTACGACGAAAGTGGCATTAGATACTGCGATAGTCGTGAACTTCCAGAACATACAATTGAGCAAAGAGAATGGCCAGTACATATCCCATGCCCAAATCATCAAAGCAGCGAACGAGTCCTCTTCGGTGCCTGGTATCTTGACCGGGCCAGCGAGTTCGAGAACGAAAGTTACTTAAACGATTATGATGGTAACTCTCTATCAAACTTCTTCAGCAGCCTTGCACATGGGGAGGGAGAAGACATCGGGGAGCTAGTAGATAAGGGAACGCGCGGTGCCCTGGAAGTCGAAAAGCTTGCACTGGTCAACAACGCGATTATAGGCGAAGAATCGGATCCAGGTATGTGGTCAAAATTGAGCGCTTCCAGCTCACAAGGGCCTCTTCAAGGACTGATTGCTATTCCATAAAGTCGATATGACGCAGGATGGCTCCCCAAAGGAGATTCCTCTAGACAAGATATTCGCAATGGAGTATTTGATAATCTCTCGGGATATATTCAGGACTTGATGAATGCAGATCCACGCCTATTGGAAGTTGCCAGACGAAGGCATTTCTACTTTTGGATTATATGAGTATCGATACAATTACTTAGGCTGGCTTTTGAAGGAGGGACTCTATCCAATATTGTATGCTGATAACCAGTCAAAACCGCATCAACCACATTGACAATCATTGTGGAGTATCTCTTTCCCTCCACATAACGGTTCGATGCGCAAGGAATCCAAAAACCTTTGGTTATTTAATACTTGATATCAAGTTTCGACATTGTTCTTTTGTTCATCCAGTACATATTCGCCCACTCGTCTTTGTGCCTCAGCGCTCGCTCCATTCCGTCTGTGTAGTCCTTCGTTTCAAGAACAGCCTTCTCCATCATAACGGTCCACTTTTTGGTCAGATCATCTGAGGACTCCGCATCTTGTGCACCAAGTGACAGTCTTATCCGTGGGCTTTGGAGGCTAGACAATGGGACACAAATCCATTCCATGTCGCAGCCCCTTTGAAGCTCAAAAAGGTTGACAGGCCGAAGTCGTATGTTAATCTCTATGAGACCTGGTAGCAGGGTCAAAATAGCACGACAAGCTGGACCCCAAACTGGAGTCACACGAACTTGGGATATGTTGGGCTGAGGGCCGGGAAATCGTGTTGCGGTACTACGTCGAGGTGTCAACTCAAGATGCCGAACGTGTGCCCTCGCATATTTCGAAAGTCGATCAAAAAATCGATGAATAGTCTGTTCGTCGGCAACGGGCTTGAAGACGCATGTTCCATAAAAGGTAGCAATGCCTTCTGCATAGATCTGTTTGTTGACCCTTAGGAAGGCGAGGTCTAGCAGATCTTTTGGTACTCTATTGTACCGTAAACAATCGTCGAACGTGCTGATTTCGACATGGATCTTAGGTTGACGATCGCCTTGATGAATCAAGTAGCCGTATATCTGCTCCCGAACTTCTAACGGTAGGGTGAGAAGGCTGTATGGCTCGACCGGTTGGTTCGAGGCTCTGATAGCATCCATTCTAAGCGTTTGAACGTCCGGCTTCGCATGTGGCACCGAATCCTTTGTTGCTAGGTAGTCTTTAGTGCCTTATTAGCCACTCTTATCGTATGGTGTCGGGAGTGAAAGTTGCCAGGACATCTTACAGTGTGGGACATCACAGCCATATGGACTCTTAGAACATGTCAGCTTGCTCCTACCTGTACTTTTTCTTGGAAGATAATATCTGTAGGCCTTCATTGGTTCAAATATCTGTGAACTGGAGTTTCACGCATTTAGCCTAACCCCGCACTTACGTTGGTGCATCCTTTCTAGCCGCCATCAACTCGGATGGTGATAGGTCGGTTCACCTTCACGTCCTCGGCACCCAATGCAAGCCGAGAAGAGCTCTGCGTCAACGGAAGTTCACACTGGTTAATCAATTTATCGTCTTTAAATGCTATCATTCAGTCAAAATAGAAAATATTTTTACTTGTGGCTCTGAGATCGTGTACCCTGGATCTAGACATAGTTCGTCGGATGTGTAGCAGATCACAAGGTCCAAAGTGGGAGAATCGGGGAAAGAAGAAAAAGAAAAAAGAGATGCCTTCGCAAAACGAAACCACTGAACATCGACTTAATATGAGTCGATATGAAGAACCATTATCAGTCGAACAGTAGCCCTGCTCGAAGCAGGGCGGTCGCCTGCTGAGGGGTACCGTCTATCAGTCTCTGCTGTCTCCCCTCCATCATGCTCTGCAACTCCCGGAGAGCTTCATGGCTGCCGCCTTTGCTAGCCAAGTCCTCGTATAGGTCTTTGATCATCTGTAGAGTAAACAGCGTTGACGGGTGTGTCTGTCCCAGAGTACTATCCCGTATCTTCAAGACTCGCCGAAGCGTGGCGACTGCCCCAGAAGAATCGCCCTGTGCAGCTTGAATGAGTGCGCTTGTGCTCAGCGACACCTGACTATCGTAACCTTCGGGTCCAAGGGCCTCTGCCTCTCCAGCTAAGACACGGTCGATTGTTGTTCTGGCTCCTTGAAGGTTTCCTTGATCGTACTGGAGTCTTGCAAAGTTGTTCCTAGTTATGATGGTATCGGGATGCTCTGCGCCCAACAGTCTCTCTCTAAGCTGCAATGTCTTCTCGTATTGTGTGGCCGCCTCTTCGAGTTTCCCTTTCCTATGAAGCAGAATGGTATGGATATTGAGGCTCACGATCGTGTCTTGGTGATGGTCTCCAAGCACCCTCTGCCGTCCGTCCAACGCTCTGAGCGCTGTAGCCTCCGCAGCATCCAGATCATCCAATTCCATGAGCGTAATTGTCAGATCGCTTAGACTCTCAAGCGTATCTGGATCCTCTACTCCTAAGGCTTTCTCGCGGCCTGCGACAGCTCGGCTTAACATTGCCGCCGCCAGCTGGAGTTCTCCTCGATGCAGAAGCGCTTCGCCCAAGGTCTGCACGCTGTCTAGCGCCAATGGGTCATCAGCAGGAAGAAGATCTCGACAGATATCGTACGACCTTTGACAAAGTTCAAAAGCCTTTTCGAACCTACACCTGGACATTTGGTAGAGACCGACTGCAACCATTAGCTGTGCTGACAAGAGCAAGTCATCGATGGCCTCGAATTGGCATGCTAACACTTGTGCTGTATGTGGTACAAGCGCTTCGTACAACGGCCATTCCTTATACTTCTGGCAACCAGGACCAGGAAATGCCTTGGCCAGAGCGCGAAGGCCCTCACAATGCCAATAAGATAACGTTCCTCGCGCTTCGAGCCAACGCTGCATTGCTAAGGACACTAGCCGGTGCGTCTTGCACACCGCATCTCTGCCACGCGAGGCCGTCAGCAGTGAGAAAGCCTGTAAAGCCCCAAGTGCTATGCGAAAACCTGTCTCGGTTTCCTTGTCTTTGCGCAATAATGAAACCGGAACAGAGTGGTAGTCGAGCACGGCGACCAACGACAAAACTTCGGCTGCGCGGGGAACATTTCGCAAAATTTGGTCAAAAGACAGTTTCCATGTGCGTACGACTGAGTTTTCGGTGTCGATATCTCTCCGCGAATCCTCGAGGTGCTCACTCAAGAGTTCCTTGGCATCGTCGTCTCCCGCACGTAAGGTTGTCAGATACTCGTCGATGCTCAGACAGTTCTCACTGATGAATGCAGCGGCCTGGGTGATGGCTAGAGGAAGGTGAGAGAGCTCCATGACCAGTCTATGTGCGTCCTTCTCACACCAGTCCTCTTCAATCATTTTCGATCGCAGCAGCTCCATCGACTCTCCCGGTGTCATGACAGAGATGTCAATGGGCCTATGCCTGCCTGACAGCCGCTCGCCGACTCGTCTATCGCGTGTAGTTATCAGAACGGAACCTTCGTGCTTGTTGGGTATGTAGCGCGCATATGACTTGGCGCTACTATCCGAGTCGTTCGTACGAGAATTGGAGCGCTCGCTGGCTCTTCTACTATGAAACATAGACTCATCGTCCGCATTGTCCAGGATAAGTAGCCACTTCCCAGAGTCAATGCTGCTGAGTCCGTCGTGAACGAATTGCAAAGTATCCATTTGGTGATCGTCCCACCCCGGAAAAGCCATCTTTCTCGCAATATGATGATATGATTCCTCGAACCGTATAGGATCGCTGGCATAGACCCAGAAGATATGGGCTTCAGGGTATCGTTCGCGGTAGAGGTAGGCGTACTCGATAGCTATTTGGGATTTCCTAGTTTGGCTGTTTGAGTAACAGGGATCGTAACCGCGAAAGTGACAATCGGCGTCAAATGTGCCAGAAGACCTACCCTATACCGCCAAGGCCCGCTAGGGCAACGTATGACTGCGACTCGAATCTTTGGTCGATAACATCTAGCGTAGATCTTCTTCCCAGAAAATTGGAGTCACGATGAAAGGGAACCATAAACACCGGTGGCTTCGCCGCTCCCGGAGCATCTTTCGGCTCTTCCGGAAGTGGGGGCGGCTGGAACGGTGATCGAAAATGCTCAGTTTCCGAAACGTCGTAACCAGGAGGGCTAGTCGTAAGATCGGGACTCTGGAGGGTGACATGTACATTCGAACCTAAGAAGTTGAACATCCCCGAGCTGCCGCCCAAGCCTTTCTTCGTGTCAGCCATGTCACCATCTGCCAGATGAAAGGTCCCGGCCTGGGAAAGCAGGTCAAAGTTTGCTTTCAACGCGGCTTCAATCCGCTCGACATCGGACTCAACGAGCACTCCAACGACTGCCTTTCTTCCACGAGACCAGTGAGACTCGTGATGTTGGGGCAGAGTCTTGACTATTAAACTGTCCAACTGCTCAGCCTGAGCCATGCAGCTTCGTACAACAGGAAGCATTGTCTCCTGGGATTTTTTATCGATAAGTCCGGCATCCATACGGATGATAAGCTTTTGGACGAGGTCAACCATCAGCGGTAATCGCGACCGGACGTTCTTAAAGACAGTCGGAACACCAGTCATGTCGCTCTCGAGCCGGCGAAGCTGCCGTAGCACCTTGCCACCGAACTCAACAAATTGAATCAGGGCGGACGCCAGTCCGATCATAGCGAGCGCTTCAGCCATGATGAGACTGGTAGCAATTTAGGCTGGCGGCGATGCAAGGTGAAGTTCTGAACATGAGGTATGGTAGAGTTGTTCGGGAACCCCGCGCGAGATTTGAAGGGGAGTGCTAACTGAAATACCAAGCCGGCCAGCCAAGTCTTGGGACAGTCTTGTTATTGACCGGGAAGGCTGTGGGAATGCAGGCGTAGACGCTTGTGGCACATAGTAATATTGGATCATGCAGCATCCCTCCCACTCTTTTGCGTGATCACGCACAGGAGTGCTTATTCCCAGAGACGTCCGTGTGAGAGGTGGGATAACCCGCCAATCATGTATTGGTGGCATGTGGCACAGTCAAGACAAATCAGGGAAGTGTTTCGCCGTTGGTTGATAGCCTGCCGTGGCTGCCAGGATGACCTCCCTGGCCATATCAGGAGAGCGATCGGGGTCAGGTCAATATCAGGCTGTGTTCTTCTGCTCCAAATTGACCTTTTGCTTCATCGATTCATCTCTATCCCCAGCATGGAAGGCCGAAACCATTCAAGCGCAGGCTTTGTTGCCCCAGGGGTCATGCCCCGGATGAAAAAGGATCTCTTGAGATACTCTCACGATCTGCTGCAGTCTTTTCAGCCACGCCCACCTATCCGAAGAGCCGGTGCATCTCCCCAAAAGCTTCATGTCGGGGTGATTGGGGCTGGCTTGGCTGGACTGCGATGTGCGGAGCTTCTAATCGATGGGGGAGCCAAGGTGACTATTTTGGAAGCTCGAGATAGGATCGGAGGTCGGGTACGTTCAGTCGGGAGTGTGAGACGACAGGACATTTAACTTGCTAACAAGCGCATACTCAGATACATCAGTCCAGATTGCTTCATCATGCCGTTGATACGTTTGTCACTCTGAGGTCCCTAGAGCCAAGAGCTCAAGATGCGGTTTACTGACGAACCCGTGACGAAGAGGTCCCAATTGGATCCATGGCACAGATAACAACCCTATCTTTAGCTTGGCTAAGTCCAGCGGCACCTCTCTGTGTGCTGTTGCGGACACTACACATGTCTTTGGGACCAGTGGTGACATAATCCCGAAGGACCTTGCCGACACAGGACTCGATACGGTCTGGTCTCTAATTGAAGAGGCTTTCAAATACAGCAACAGCGACTGTGCAAACATCAATCCGGAGCGGAGCCTAAAAGACTTTTTTGGTCAGCAGCTCGCCGAAGGAAAGCTTACACAGGACGAGCAAGCCCGGGTTCTACTACTAGCAGAGATGTGGGGTTCCTTCATAGGAGACTCATGGGAGCGACAAAGCCTCAAGTGGTTTTGGCTTGAGGAATGCCTCGACGGCGGTAAATACCCCTTGAAATATCCCTCCTCACAAATAACTTTACTAACAGAGTGGGCGACCCACTGAATATCAGAGAATCTCTACGTTATGGAGAATCATAATAACATTCTCCAGGGTGTCGCGGCGAAATCCATCGCCCAGGCGGAAATCCATCTATCCGCTGTGGTCAGCAGCGTTGACAGTACATCATCCGAGTCTCAGGATACTAGAGTCGTGGTCAAAACATTAGATGACGTTTTTGAATTTGACGAAGTGGTGGTAGCAGTTCCTTTGGGCTGTCTTAAGACTGGGAAACCGTCTTTCGTTCCTCCTTTGCCAGAGTGCATTCAGATGGCAATCAAGAATGCCTCCTACAGCAGTCTAGAGAAGGTTTATCTTACCTTTCCCGTCGCATTCTGGGATGAGAATATAGCAGCAAATGGTGGTCAGCAACCGTATAGCACGCCATACCTCGAAGAAAGCCAGGTAAACCGGGAGGTAGACGGCAGCTTTCCCAGCTTCATTCACTTTCTCAACCCTGAGTACGTCCCCGCCGATCAGAAACACTGGCCCATCGAGATGGTTCCTTTGTCCTCGCCGGCAGTGTTCGGATCTCATGCCATGCCGACCCTCCTTATATACACGTACGATCCGTGTGCGGAGTATGTCCTATCTCTTATCCAGGGCCTTGCTCCCGACAGCGCCGAATACTTCGATGTTCTTGACCGATTCTTCCAGCCTTACTACAGTCGGCTTCCGAACTATAAAACTGGTCACGAGAACTGTGTGCCCTCGACCATTCTCGCCACAAATTGGCACGGTGACGAATTCGCAGGGAATGGATCTTACACCAACTTCCAAGTCAGCGAGAGCACCTTCAATCCTGCAACAGAGACACAGGACGACACTCGGGCGGACGAGAGCAAAGAGGACCAACAGATCCATTTAGATCTCGACGTCCAAGCCATGAGAGCTGGCATGCCTGAACGAGGCATTTGGTTTGCCGGCGAGCACACCGCACCTTTCGTTGCCTTGGGGACCACAACTGGCGCGTACTGGAGTGGCGAAGCGGCTGCTCTACGTGTCCTGGCTGCGAATGGGCTTGCAACAGGGGTTACTGCACCTTGCAATGAGGCAGCTTCTTGATAGACTAGACTACATTAGATGAATAGAGTCTTGACCTACCACTGATTATTGGGAGGTCCAATGACGGGCATAGAGAATTGAAAGGTTAATCCGCGTTGCAACATATTGTCAGCGTATCTAGCTTAGGTAGACGACGAAATTGAAAGACTCTGTGCTAATCGGTTTTGGGCCTGTTTTTGGAAATGTTGCCGTTCACCTTCTCGATTTCTTCCCTCGCTTGGTCCCACCGACTTCGCTTGCCATCGAAGTAGCGGTAGATGTGTGGACTGTAGATACCTCCCATGAGGAGGTTGCAGAAAGACCGATCCTTGAGCCAGTAACACCATCCCTTCCAACCCCATCCCAAATATTCGTCAACCCCAGTCCCAGCCATCTTGTCCGCCCATGCTGACCAAGAATGGCCATTGACAAGCTGTGGGTGAATATTGCTTTTCTTTGCAAGGCCACACAGCCAGTCATGGTGCTCATCAACCGACCGCTCCATTTCGTGCTGAGGTGGAAGGTCCGAGTTCCCCTTCCAGATCTGCACGACAGCCATGGACGCCAGGTCATATAGAACGAATGCCCCCGTTGCAAATGCCACGCACCCCATGAATGCGAGTGAGTCCGGGTACTTGAGAGACAGAACATTCTGATACAAGCGAGGCAGCGGTTTGCCCCTAGACCCCTGGGACGCAGTCCACTTCGGTGTGGTATCAGCCGTTGGATCAGCTTCGTGATCCAATAGACTGAAGTTGGGTTTGTATCCAGTGCAGTAAATGATAGCATCTACCTTCAAAGTTCTTCCACCCATCAATTCAACTTCATTCGGCCCGGTTACGCAACTGACACCCGTGACAGATTTAACTTTACCACTCTCAAGCGCTGGGACGATCTCGTCTGAGACGACCGGGGTGCTGGTTTTGATCGAAGGAGCTGGTGAGAGATTCCACTCAGGACGGATTTTGAATGCAGAATCCTGCAGCTTTTTAACAAATCCATTGAAAAGGCGTTCAGATAGATTGGGGAAGAACCGCTCGAGAAGCCTTTGAAAAGTGATCAAGCGAATGTTGAGTGTGTGGTCAATGGGGCGGCCTTTGTTGGTTCGAGGAAGCTTATGATAGATCAGACCTGATCTTCGACGGATTGGGATCCATACCTAACTTACGATGAGAGCACCCTCTCGGTGAGAAACATAGATCTCGCTTGCATAGCCCACAAGTGATGTTGCAGTGTCAGCGCCGGTGTTTCCCAAGCCGAAGACCAACACTTTCTTCCCTGTGAAGTTCTCTGGGCTGAATTGCGCATTAGCAAAGAAAGTACCAAACTGAAATAGTGTGGTTAACCTTTTGTAAGATTTGGAGTGGAGCGTTTCGCCCTTGAACAGCTCAATCCCTTTGACATTCGGATAGTTGGGTGTTTGGTTCATTCCTGTCGCGATGATGACCCTGTCGAACATTTCTTTGGGCGAATCGGAAATTTCAACAATCCATTTGTTAAGAGCATCATCATGCGATACATGAGTGACAACTGTATTGCGGCGCATCATTGATCGCAGCTTGAAGTGATCGACATAGTCTTCAAGATACTGTGCCACCTCCTCGGCCGAGGGTTGACTGGTTGTCGCTTGGGGTTGTGAGAATGCTAGCTTTCAGTTTGTTTGACAGACTTACCATCAGGAAACGGGAAGTCTGTGAAACATCCCTGATCATGTGTAAGTTGCATTGACCATCAAGTGACTCGTTTGCACGTTACTGAAAGTCTTACTCTTTCTTTCGAGATATTAACAATAGTTGCTATTGGATTCCAGTCAGTGATTGTCTAAATTAATGGCAGCCGAAGCATCCTTCTACTCACTAGGCAGCACAGAAGTCTTGTCCTCCCGTGTGAACTTCCAAAGACCACCAACATAGGGATTGCGCTCAAACCCGGTCACATCGAAACCCTCTTCGGCGAGATTCTTGAGAGATACGATACCAAAGGCACCTACTCTGTGTCAGAATAGCCAATTAGTTTTCCCACACTTTTACTTTACTCACCAAGCCCGATCACTGCGACTTTGTTCCTCGGGACGACCATTCTGACAAGCTTGAAGTCAGTGAGGATACATAAGATGTCTCAAGCCAAAAACTACCTGGGAATTACGCGCAATAACTACTTCTTCTTGTGTTGGCGAGTCTTGCCGTATGGAATGCTGGCGCGTGAACGTTGAAATCTTGAGGGCTGAATGTCATGCCACCGCTTCCGCTGTTCCGCTGTGGCGTTCACTAGCACCTAGCCAAGTGCAGCTAGTAGCGAAACCACGACACAAATAAGCGAGGCGATACGAGAGCAGCGCTTGATTGGTGTCTCTGATCTCACTTCTTTCTCTCAGCATTGATGTACCTCCGAAGGTAAGCACTGTGTTTCTCGTAAGTCCGTCATTATACGAGCTTCTCCGAGATGCAAGTGCTTGCATGATGACTTGGTCCGAGACCGGCCTCAGCTACTCAGATTGTCATAAACAAAGCCGCCTTTGTTATGACTGCATGCCGTTGATATTTGATAGAAAGTCCGAAGCAGACCACCATAGGCTATGAATTGTAGAAGCACACATGGGTCGGTTTGCATTTGATATCCCCCAAGTAAACAGGTGATTGATTATATAATGTAGGGACATGTCTACAAGGGCTTCACACGAGCGATAACAGTTGTTTCACGGAATTCAATGCTGTTAACTGCCTTCAGCCTTCAATATGAACTCACCAAAACCCTGGGCCTAGATTTGACTAATCCGTCAAAGTCGGGATACATCAAGCACCGAAATCTCAATCCTTAGGTAGTTGACAACGTCAAAGTTATTCAAAGGCTTCGGGCTAGGATCCGGATCCTGTCGAGGAATATCAAGGATATTTGGGTACAAAGAGCGTTCTGCGGGAGCCTATTTAGCCGATCCTCATATGACAGCTGCGTTGGATGGCTGAGGTCTTGATTAATGTGCGCAAATCAGCTCAACACCCTCACGCTTGACAACTTTGGGGGTTTTAGCGATCCTACCCAGATGGTTTTGCCATGTAGCTTGGTGAACAGAACAAACACGCCGCTATGAGATCTGTATAAATACGCCGCAAATTAAGCAGTAATATTTTGAGATGCTGTTATTTGCAGCGCCGTGTCCATCCTCTCCACTCTTTCTATCGTGAGCTTGTCTCCTTTCAAAATGTCGGCATTTCCTTGCGCCCCCACGACGTTTGGGAATATCTCATTGTTCGGGGCGGAGATTCTGTCCCTACAGACAAGTTTTGTCACCAATTACACCACCTCTGTTCCTTCTTCTGTTCGCTTCACCCAGCCATCAGTCGAAGTGCAGAACGCGAGCTTCTGTAACATCACAGTAACCTACACCCACCCAGGTCAAGACGATGTCGTCAACTTCGAAGCTTGGCTTCCCGCAGAGGGATGGAACGGTCGTCTCCAGGCTGTCGGGGGCGGCGGTTGGGTTGCAGGCCGCAGTGAACCCTTTTACAGCGCCATGGGAGGAGCAATAGCTGACGGCTATGCGACGATCACGACTGACGCTGGGTTGGGGAACTCTTTGGACGCGAGTCCTTGGGCACTTCTCAGCCCTGGAAATGTTAACCTATACAATCTGCAAAACCTTGCGTCTGTGTCACTCGATGACGGGGTAAGTCATTGGACCACCTTCGCACAGCTGACAATTCTGATTCTCAAAAAATGCAGGCAATCATTGGGAAGTCGCTCATCAATTACTATTATGGTCGCGGACCAGACTATTCCTACTGGAATGGCTGCTCCCAAGGGGGCCGTCAAGGGCTCATGCTGGCACAACAGTATCCAACTCAGTATGATGGTATCGCCGCCGGTGCTCCAGGGATTCAATGGACCGATTTCTTCCCTAGCATGCTCTGGCCTCAGCAGTACATGAACATGATTGGGAAGTACCCTCGTGCCTGCGAACTCACGGCGATCACAGCCGCGGCAGTGTCTGCTTGTGATGGATTAGACGGTGTCAAAGACGGGATTATTAGTGAAGTCGATGCGTGCCTTGATGCATTCAATCCTTTCACGATGGTCGGTCGAGCAATCAACTGCTCTGAGGCACCTGAAGTCAGTCGTGCAGCAGCAGCTGTAGTCGATGCTACGTGGCAGGGGATGCGCAACTCCCAGGGCGTACAGCTGTGGCCGGGACTGAATCCTGGTACTGATCTGGCTGTCGGCGTCGCTGCCACCAACTGCTCCACAGGGTCTTGCAGAGGTGTGCCATTGCCCATTGCTGTGCAATGGCTTTCGTTGTTTGTCGCAAGGAGTTCAGATTTTGATCTTTCCAACGTCAGTCATGCTGAGTTTGACTGGATGGCACACCAAGGGCGGCAAAGGTACAACTCGATTATTGGTACTGATGATCCTGATCTCTCTGCTTTTCGTGATGGCGGAGGGAAGTTGATCACCTTTCACGGTCTCGTAAGTCAGCCCCTTGTCCTCCTCTGGGCAGCGGAAAAGCTTAATATTCCCACAGCTTGACGAGCTTCTCCCTCCAAAGGGGAGTACCAAGTACTACAACAGAGTATCTGATCTTATCCCGGCAGTTCATGACTTCTACCGCCACTTCGAGGTACCCGGCATGGGCCATTGCGGTGGAGGGAGGAGCGGAGGGCCAACTAGTCTATTTGGTCAACTCCGTGCATGGGTTGAGAATGGCACCGCACCGGACCATACACTGGTCAAGGTTACTGTTCTGGAAGGAAATGTCCAAGACCGCATCTTGTGCCCATATCCGCAGAAGAGCGTTGTCGATTCGGACTGTGATAGGAATCTGGGAACACGATGCTGGTCATGCGAAGGCAGTTTATAGGTATCACTCAAGGTCATTGCTTTTTTTGGATGAAATGGCCGATCGGCCGTTCATTGTCATGGATTTGGATCCTCTAGTTCTATGTCCTTGTGGTATCATTTGCAGCACACATCCGAAATCTCAAGCGCACCCACTTAGTCGAACAAGCCATACAGCAGGTTCCCCAAGTTATTCTATAACGTTCACTGTGGAGTGTTCGTCTAGTCACTGCAGCTGTTCGAGCAGTCGTGCTTTTCAGCGTTATATCTGGAGTGGCACTTGCACTGAACGTCCTGGACAGGGTAGCAGCTGCCAGAAACAGAGCCACGGTGGGGATCCGCCGCGTTGGTGTTCTTGTAGTTGACGGTGAAGGACTTTCCGAGGGATCCAAATTTGCGGTTGATGTAGAAGAGGGCATTGCCCTTGCGCAGGCCGTTGTTGCAGTACTCGGCGGGCTCGTTGCGCGCCCAGTTGTCGAATTGGCCGCAGTCAACCCCGTAGTAGCCGTTCACTGTGAGACGGGAAGGTCAGCGACGTGTTCAAGGAAGAAAGGTCAAATATCGAGGATGATGGAAACTTACTGGCACTGTCGACTAGAATCCAGGGGTCAACATGGTCATCGAAGCAAAAGTCAAGTCTGCACTGGACGCGCTGGCAATCGCAGTAGCTGAAGCCGCAATCGCGCTTCTCCAGTTCGAAGGGGACGTAGTTGGGGGAAGAGATGGCGGCCAGGATAGGGGAGGCCATCAGGCTGGCAAGAACCACGGAAATAAGCGAAGGCATTTTGGAAAAGAGCGTAAGTAAAGAATGTAACGAAAGAGTGTGATGGTTTCTACAAGCCAAAGAGTGTACTGAACGAATCTGTTGATCCTCTGTTCACGAGCTTCGAAGAATCCGGGCAACAATCCTCTCTTATAGATGCGTTTACGATTGCTATTATTGGACTAAGAACACTTACTCGGAGCAGTCTAACAAGACGGGCGTACCCGACTTAGCTTGTACAACGGTTACGCCGTATCAATCAGTGGTTGATCGTGGTTCATTCAGTCTCTCGGCCGATGTGATAGCTCTGTTAGACTTTAGGCTAAGTGCCGGTGTCCCTGTATCCGTCGGCCTGTGCGCCCACTTCATCTGCCCATATGGCCATAGCACGAATCGTGGCCGCGGAACCTCCTCCTACCCGAGCATCAAATACTCAGTCACCTTTGCGGCTCCATGAAGCGAGTCAGGGGGCCCCAAGTCAGACTTGTCGGTGTTCTGGAAATGGAAGTATTTGTACTGCCTCGATTGGAGGAGGCAATGAATGTTTTGGAAACTAGACATCACCAAGACTGATAAGTTGCGGTTCTTACCGCGGTGGTAAAAGATTTCACAAGTATTTTAGTTGATCTAGAGCCGGGTCCAGATCACCTTACCCACGGTTAGTGCATACCCACTCATCTACCGACATTGGGACAGAGCCATCGTTCAATGACAGGCTCAGACGAAAGTGATCAGTTAGGCGAAGACTTCCACTTGCCTATGAAGTTGCGGATGTCGTGTGACGTGCCGTCAAAAGTAACAAATTACAATGACTCGGCATACCGAACCCGAGTCTTTAATTCGCAAAGCCTCGCTTGATGTCAAGCACAGATAAGATCGACACTTCGACTCAGTCCGAACTCCAGTTCATGTCAAATAAGGCAAGGAACCCCCCACTCGCCCAGCCGGTTGGACGGCAGCCTTACCCGCAAAAGGCCGTTGGCATTTGACAGAGGTCCGGATACGCCGGTGTCGGGACATCGTCGAGTCATCAGGGGGCGTTTCATCTGCCGTGCGTGTGCGCGCGTATCCAGGCACTGGTGGGTGCAGTACTAATTTATACGGAGCAGTTGGAACTGCTTTAGCTGCAAAAAAATCCATCTCGAGCACTTCCCTTATTCAGCTATTCGAGGACTGTGTGGACGAAGCCCCTTGGGCAGCCTCTGACTTTTGTATCAGTGCAAGTAGAGATTGATGGCTTATGGGTGACACAAGCTCGGGGCGTACATTCAATCGCAACGCGCCGTATACAACCTTGCCTAGATTGACGGAAGCTGACGGACAGCCGGACTTAGGCAGGTGTTCCCGCAAGAGTTCAAGGGCGGTGGATGTGTGAGTTCCCACAATCCATATTATAAACTTCATTGCACAGATGTGATTACGTGGACTATTTCCAGCCTTCAGGTCTGCCTCAAAATGACAACTAGGAGGTGTGGAACCTGGATGTGGACAATCAGCAAGTACGTTCCATTGTCGCTCGAAGCCCGGGTTTGAAAGACACTTATCAGATCGTACATATAAGCCTTCAACATCTTCAGTGTGTCTTAAACGATGGACACGAAGTTTCTCGCCAAATGGATATCACGACGTTGGAGCGCTTTGCATACGTCTCTGGTAAAAAATGCAAACGATTATACTGTATGGATCACTACCTAGTACGGACGAGAGATGGGACCATAGAGAAACCTGAGCAGCATAGCTATTTCGACCGGGCAGAAGTATCATGAGATCAAATTAGGTAACGGTTCCTATTCTGCGTCCTGACTGAGTAACATAAGGTGTTCACAAAAGCTAGCCACTTAAACTTTGAATCCTTCGTATTGGTTTCCGCCCCTTTGACCGACTCATTCGAGCCAGAACGCAAACAAATTGTTGATATACCGGGTCCCAATCTCGCCGGTGTCTCCTTAGTCCGCGGATGTAGACTGGTTTTCCAGAACGACTCGTGATTTGATTTACCCGTTCAGCTCCAGCCAGGGAGAGGAAATGGGGTGTCTTCTGGCTCCGCGGGCAAGCCTGCAGTCGGCAGAGGGGTAAGCGTGACAATTTGGTCCTCTTCGGCCAGCCTGACCTCACGGAACTTGCGCAGAGTCCAGACATTCCACACATTCGAGTCGATGACAACACCGTAAAGACCGGCAGTCGTGCCGGTCCACTTCGTGATGACCCTGAGATCGCTGTCTCGAGTGCGAAGCTTGTGAACGAACTGGTCAATATTGGTTGCCTGTTTCCGGTAGTCAGTATCAAGACGGTATACGATGGAGCTCAGTCCAGACTGAGGGTCTTACCGGGGCAAGGAAGACGATGTATCGACCAGCGAGAACACTGGCGACGTAAGAGAAGAGGGTGAATAGGCTGAAACGCATCTTGGAGATTATGTATTAGGTATTGGTGAGATGAATTAGGGATATTGCGATGATCTGAGTGCAAGTTTGCTGATGATATCTCAGGATAGATGCTCCCACTGGCCATCGCGACTACCTTTTATACTCCACCGCTCTTCCTCAACTCGATATAACCTCGAGACATTTCCTTCCGTCATGCGGGGTTTCGATCACACCTTCCGACTGCTCACCGGATGTCATCGCGACGGGAAGGAATCTAGGGGCCGCCATCATCGTGTGCCAAGATCCTGCCTTGAGACATCCCCAGCCCGGTTAAAGTGCAAGCTCAGCCAGATTCCTGCGCAACTTCTCCCTCATCCCAGATTAAATCTCTCACGCGACTGGACAGAACTCTCCTTTTACCAGTAGGCGCCAACACCTTTGGGTGTCGTCGGAGTCTTGGCTTCGCGCGTTGCGGGAGATCGGCGGTGTTTGTCCCCCGTTGCGGGCACGTCCAAGACTTTGCCCTCCGGTGTCTCTGAGACTAAATCTCCATAAACGGCAACTCTGCATACCGGAACGAGCTGACATGAAATACGTTTTCGATTACTATAAGACGCAACCGCTACAATACGACAGACTCGCTACATGTAAGTAGTACCTAGAGCCCTCTCGCTTCCAAAATAGACAAACTTATACGTGACTTACTAGTACTTGCTAGTATTGCGTCAACGGGCTCTAATTTTCTCCCATCGGCTCGGCACGCTACGCCACGAACGCCTCATCGCATCGGCTCCCCGAGACCATCGACGGCGGCTAACCTCGGACCATGCGGTAGAGACATCTCAGACTTCATCAAATGTCTTAGAACCGAACCTCGCGTCCCGACTTTGCGCTCTCCTTGACAGCGTGGATAATACGCAGGACATCCCGCGCCTCTCTCGCCGGCACAGGAACGTACTCCTCCCTTCCAGTCTCAACAGCCTTGGCGAAACCCTCGAAGAGCTTGAGGTACGTCTCCGGCTTGTGCGTCGGCTTCATGCGCTCCTCGACCTGGCCGCCCTCCTTGACCAGCAGCAACCTTCCGCCGTTCATGGGGTCCTCAACACCGAAACCAGGATCGGTGGGCTTCGCGCCGGCCTTGAGCTGGTCCTCCTGCGGATCGAGGCACGTCTTGTGGTAGCTGGCCTTGGTGCCGCGCACCCAGAAGCGAGGCTGGCTTGTCTCGACGCTCATGACACCGATGCGTACGCTGACGATGAGGCCGTCTGGGTAGCAGAGCTGCGCGTGCACGCTGTCGGGGTCCTCGGGGTCGAACTTGCCGTCGCGCTGGCTGACGAGCTTGCCGTAGACGGTCTCTGGCATGCCAAAGAGGTTGTAGGCCTGGTCGATGAGGTGGGATCCCAGGTCGAAGAGGGCGCCGCCTCCTTCGGCCATGGTCAGCTCGCCCTTCCATGACGTAGGACGGTCAGCGCGGAAGCGGTCAAAGTGGGTGTCGAATTCGTAGACACGGCCGAAGACGCCATCGGCAATCATCTTCTTGACCGTGAGGAAGTCACTGTCCCAGCGACGGTTCTGATAGACGCAGATGAGGCGCTCATTCTCCCTAGCGATCTGGATGAGTTCCTCGGCCTCCTCGATGGTGGGCACGAAGGGCTTCTCGACCAGAACGTGCTTGCCGGCCTGCAGGGCCTGCTTGGAGAAGCTGAAGTGAGTGTTGGGCGGTGTGAGGATGTTGATGATGTCAACATCGGGGTCCTGAAGCATGGGCTCCAGGGAGGTGTGGTGCTTCAGCTCAGGGTAGTCATTTGGTGCTGAGGAGGAGGCTGTGGGCTTCCGTTGGACGATGCTGTGCAACTTGAACTGAGGTGTGAGGTTGATAAAAGGGATGTGGAAGACCTTGGCGGATAGTCTGTGGATGGTCGGTCAGCACGTGGGCGTCTTCGGTGAGTCGCGCCGAGAGTGAGTCTATTCCGAAAGCATGCAAGGGGGGGTCTTATCAAGGATGACATGGTCTGAGAGACCGTCTCACTTACCCATATCCAATGATTCCAACGTTGAATGTCTTGCCTGCTGCCATCTTGTCTCTTATGGGTTCTTATTACACTGTATAATGAGTCTGAGAAACTGTGAGCTTTCTTCGTACGACAGACTCAAAGAAAATGTCGTGAGCTTGACAGCTTTATATAGCTATCGTCGAGCTGGATCACTTTAGCATGAAAGGCGATGAGGGGCACGAGGGGGCAATCGTGGAGGGAACTGGAGCTTTGGTGGAGTGACGGGCCAAGATTACCCCATTGCGTCACTAAGGAAGGACTCGGCGCTTTTCTCAATGGACGACGGAGAAAATTGCCCCATTTTCGGCGCGTCTGTCAGGTCACGGACGGCGACGCTAACGCCCACTTTGACACACCGGGTTTACCGGCCGAGAAGGACTGTTAGAGTTGCCTGAATAGGTCACCTTGGCGCTTCGGTGAGCTACCCCTCTTCACCCAGGCAGAGCCTACCGGATATGTCCCTCATTTGATTTCATGTAGTGACTTGACTCAAGATGGACTCGGTGAGACCAAGAAATCTATCTCTTATGACTATGTTCTCATGTCTACTTGTGGCCATACTACCGCTTGCCACGTCTCCCCGATGAATGGGAGAAACCGGTTACCAGTCAAGCGTATCCCAATTTGTTACTCCCGGAGCGAGACAAAGTCTCCCCATAGAAGTAAAGCCGGCAAGAAACATAGAACCCCAAAATCTGAATGTATAGGATAATCACAAACAAGGATACATGTACCGTCATGGAAGGATCCTTTTCGGCTTGATAGGTCGTCCGCAGGGGTGAAGATGCATCATGTCACCCAGCCTGTTGAAGAAGAACCAGTATGCGTCTACGCAAAAGATGCGCGAGATGATATCGTCGAGTGGCGTACAGTGCCATGTCGTTGGAAGCTATGGATGTGTCTATGAAACTTCAGTCAGCTGATTCTCATCGACACTGGGGTGAATTAGGGGCACTCACATGAGATCTGGGGTGGCTTCGGATCTGGTCCAAATTCACTTGCCCCTCGTTCAAGACTTTGGTTTCAATATACCGGGGATAGGACCGCCGACTTCGGGTACCAGCAACCAAATATCGCAACCATGGCGAAAGTGAACGATAGAGCCGTCAGTTCTAGAGCAATGATGGCTGTCTATTCCTGATGCGGTCCATTACCGTGATGAAGAACCACAGCGCTTGCCAAGGAGTGATGAGTGTGGTGGATGTCAGTGATAGAACCAATTATATTTTTAGTAGGGCTTAGAGCTTACCTTGAAAGAGTATCGACTGTATTCCGTTCCGCGGTATCCATGGTCTCCGTATCAAGAAACTCGACGAAGCCTTGCCTGGCCGGATAATGTAGCTGTTCCGCGTCCACGGCAAGCCCTTCAGGAAGGTCAGGGCTCTTGAGAAATAATCCAGCCAAGTCCACACAGAATGGATGCGTGTACGTCCATTTATTTCCGGCACATAGGTGACTGCCTTTTCGAAACCGCTACAGATCTAGAAAATCATGTGAGTTGCCGATCAAAGTCCATAGACGTGTCGTTGTGAAAAGCCCGCTTATACCTTGACATTTCAACGAGCGCTATACAGTCGATCAACTGCGAGTCTGGAAAGGAAATCTCAACCCAAAAACCCAATCATCGTGAGGTTGATCTTATCAAAGAAGCCATGATACCACTGATTCTTCGATGAGATAGCGTTCGGGTGAGTGACGACCTAGACACACAGAATGATTGTCACAAATAAAATGAGATTTGGAAAAAAGTATTGCCATATGCGATGGAATACTCTAGATATTTCATCAGAAATCTGGCACTTGATAGCCGTGGGAAGGGCAGTGCTCGTCATCTTGACTGAAGTTCTCCAGCTCGCGTCGGCGTGCCCACCGGTCTCCACCGAGGCATCGGCCCAAATCGATCAACTGTATTCCGATGAGATTGCAGTCGACGATTCGAGGTTTCAAAACTGTCACGATTACGACTTATCCTGTTGTTCAGTCATATCGATCACCGATGTGTGCAGTTGAGAGGAGAACAGGGCGACCGTATGATGTAATTTGGCGGCCATTCCACGACATGCTGTTGTTTTGCGGGTGATGTTGTGGGGATCTGAAGTCATCCCACTGTGGGTGCGGCGTGTCTGACAGGAGGTTTATCTCCGGCTTGAGTTGATGCGAGAAGAGCTCAACATGATGTCATGGGCTCGAAAGATGTTTAAATGGCAGCTTTAGAACCTCGATGAGATGAAGAAATGGAAAGACAATCAACTCTCAAAGCTACATTCAAAACATTGAAGACGACTTGTGTCCCAGCGAAACATTGTTCCCTAGAATCTTTACTCGAAGCAACCACCACAGTACCCTATCAAAATGTCTGCTCAGTACAAGGCACCTAGTGCTGGCGCCAAGGTATGTCTTGACATCCCTGGAGTCACGCAAGCCTATTTTCAACAACCTTTTCTCGGAACCCCAAACTCTAACACAAACCATAGGTTGAGCCCAGCGCCGACGTCCGTCCCACTCGATCCGAAGCAACCGGTCCCGTCCCCGCCGGCTCCCTCGCAGCCGAGTCCGCCAACCAAGGCGGCGAATTCGCCTCCAACCGCAACGTCGACACCGCCACCGCTTCTTCCCGAACCGGCACCGGCGGTGCTCCCGGGTCTAGCGCCGCATCGATCCCCGATCAGGCCGCCGCAGCGCCGACATATGTGAACAACCAATACAACCGCGACCCCAACGGGCCACACGGGAAGAACATCACCGAGGGCTTCGACACGGCGAACACCAAAGACGGAGTGCAGGCTGCTTTCAACGCCGAGGTCGGTAGCGAGAATGACCCTGGGCGTGTGGCGGAGCAGGGGCTGCTGAAGAGCCAGACTAAGGCTGGAAGGGATGCTGGGCCCCGGCAGACTGAGGTTGGGGGAGAGACGGTGTACGAGAAGTTGAAGAGCGATGTTCAGGCGTAGGATGTGTTTGATACAGCGTATGATTAATGATCTCTGTATGAATACTGTTGTTTGATAACCTGATTATGGGCATGGATGGAATAACAAAATCTTTCCGAATCATGTGATTGATGAGAATTGTCAGGAGATTATCAAATTGAAAAGAGGTTGACGATGCCTTGAGACTCTACACCACCCATGGTCACAAACAATTCCGCAAAACCTCCTGCTAACACGAATTCGACCAGCGATTACACCATCACTTTTCTCTCGAGCATCCGGGCCCTTTTGGGCGCACACGAGCGCGCTCGAGACGAAGAATTCGCGCGAAAAAATCGCGGAGCTTCTTGAGCCGGCTTGAAACCTTCTTTGTCATCAGAATCGGGCGCTTGGTCTAGGGGTATGATTTTCGCTTCGCACTTCCAACAGGAACGCGCCTTTGTGAAAGGTCGTGGGTTCAATTCCCACAGTGTCCAATACTTTTGCATTTTTGGTGGTTTATCGCATGTTCTTGCTTCGTAGATCAAGTCAGCTTCGATTTGCATCATTTCTTTGGTCATTTGATAAATGGTGGTAACGGCCGCTTCACTACCGGTAGGGGCCAGTCGGTGAAGATGGTTATACACCATGAATGAGCTGTGAGTACTACTTGAGTGAGATATATGAGTGAGTGAGTGTTCCTGACCTGCACATCATGGAAATTGTGTGAAATACAGTTGATCCCGTCCCGAAATTCATGAGAAGCGTCATGAGCCCGTTTTCCGTTCATGTCAACGAATATTCCCGAATATGGCGTATTAAACTTTGTTGAGTCCAGCAACGGGTGACAGTTGTTAGTGAGTGAGTGAGGGACGGATTCGGTCGGCCCCCGAAAGGCGAGTGGAGCCGTCGAGAATACGGTTGCCTAAATCTGTCAGTGCTAATTAACTGCATGATGCCGCGCCGTTCCCTTCTCCGGGGAATTTTCCCACTGCTGGAGACGATGGAATTTTCCATCGAAACGATGGAAGAAAGGTGCGACAAGGGCTGATCCGAGTCTTATTCCAACATCAGACCTACTTTCCATATTTCTTCCGTCCAACGCCTTCTCAAGTCTTGGCCTGCTGCTCGCTGGAGACATCAGACTCGGCATTTTCACCCGAGAACGTGCCATAAGAGGCGCAGCCGTTGACGCCGCCCACCCCTTGTTACGGGACGAGTCAGGACAAGAACGCCAAACCTTACCGCAAAGAAGCTTGTTCTTTTTCTCCTTCAGCGCCTCTTACCTACGTCTCTGCTATTATTCAGCGGGTGGTTGAGCTGCCGATGCCCCGGAAAAGCAGGGAAACCGAGACACGGGAGCTGGGAACGTCGACTGTGGAACTACACCTCACTCATTGATCAACGAAAATTCGACACCAGCAGCAACGACGACGTAAAGGGTGGAGGATAGGCGACGTGGACACACACATCCCACCCATGCTCGTCCTACGGTAGACACACGATGAGTGCGCCCGAGTCGTACCAGCTCGAGTCCCTCGCGTCGGATGGGGACGGCGTCAAGCCTACGTCGCCGACGGCCTCCATCGACCCGGCCAACGTGCGGTGGATGAACCAGGGCGACCGACGATGGGAAGTCTGCAAGATCGTGACCCGTCTGGTTGGGACGCTGCTATGCGCCATCATCCTCATCATCATGATGGCCTGGTATGGGTACCCGCCGTGGGATAACTATAGTGTCTGGCCTTGGCTGTGTCTGCCAGGAGTAAGTTCTGTCACTTGTCCTTTCATCTCATACAGCAGTAAGCTCATCATGAGACGAAAACTTTAGGCTTTACCATCGTTTATGTGGGATTTGGGCGAGTTCCTCACCATCTGCGCCCGCCACGGACGCGGCATCACGCCAAAGGCTCACATTGGCCTTGAACTCATCATCTCCATCCTTGGCTACATTGGCGGAGGTTGGCTGGCTTTCCAGCTTGGCATCCAAGAGGATGACCAGATAGGAAATAACCCGCTGAACCTCGCTCTCGTAATGTGTATCTTTATGCTTCTCAGCGCGTAAGTATACTTTCCTCTCGCCCTTCCCTCATCTTGCGAGATTGACACACCCTCTAGAACAATCCACATGGCACTCTTCATCCGCGCCTGTATAGAACGCAGCCGCGAGATCCGCCGGCGCAGGCCGCGCGTGATGTACATCCCAGAAACGGGCCAAACAGTCTACGTCGTCGCCAAACCCTTTCCAAAACTACCTACCTGGAAATCCCCATCCACACGCGCCCAATCCTTCCCACGCTCGCCGCAGAGCCCGCTCAGCAACTCCCTACGGCACCACTTTGCACAACTCCAAGAAGAGATGCCTCCGCCATTACCCGATCGGCCCGGCGACCAGTCCCCATCGTCGGCGTCATCTATCAAGCGAAAACCTTTACCCGGCGCAGGTATCCCGTCGCGGACGATTCCGGCGAGTGGTGATAGTCGGGACCGGCATCTCCGGCCGAATATGCGGCCCCCGCCGGCGGACTATGAGCCTTCTGCGGAGGAGCTGGAGCGGATGAGACGGGGTGACGCGCAGCCTCAGCTTATTTTGCCGGGGGATGTGGATTTCAAGTTTGCCACGAGCGTGACTGGTATGACGCCAGCTGATGCGAGCGCGAGGGAGGGCAAGTATAGGGTGAATATGACGCAGATGCCGGTGGTGATGGGGGAGTCTTCGAGGGGAGGGAGTGCCGGCAGGACGAGGTCTATCTGATCGTCTGCTGTGGCATCTGTATACCTTACTTGAGGATACCTCATTTGAGTGTATTTCACACTCATTTCATGTGTAGCATTTTCATGATGGTGGGACGGCGTTTGGGGGTACTTCATGACTGAATAGAACAGTCTCATTTGGGAACGAGTATCTCACGGTATTCTTTTAATTCATTCTTCTCATTCGAATTCATCTCCAAGTCAGCCTTCAATGGGAAGATCATGAAATTCGCGTCATAATTAAAGTCCAAGATGAAAATCGAAGTTACTCAAGTCCCAAATTCTCGGGCATTTCAATTCAGAGGGCGTCGATCAAAAGTGCCAGTCCTTGAGCGCAAAGCAGGGCGCAGCACTAGCTCGTCGCCAACACTCAGGCTGTCAGGGGCTCGTCGCGCCGTGACAGGCCGAACCCAGGGCCTGCGACACGAGCCTCAGACCCACTGGGAGCCCACAATACAGAGATCTGACTGGCTACGGTACCACGGATGGATGGACTTTGGGGAATGAGTGCCCCCTGTAGTGCGCTGTAGTGTGAGGTAGTGTACCCGAAGGATCACGGTAAGGTACCTAGTGTACTGAGGTACGTACTGTAGCCCCCCCTGTTGGTGCCCTCTGATCTTTTCCCAGGGTTCGAACATCGGCCCCCGAGTTGCTTGTCGTCCGCCGTTCGATTTCCATCCCCGGTCCAAAACGCATGCGACCTGAACATGCCGCCGCCGACACTCATTCTCCTCACTGCCGACCTCGCCGCGTAATCCAGCCCCTCTACCTCAGAACAACAAGCCGAGCGCCATTCGAGATTTCTTCTGTTCGCCATCTAGACGACACTCTTCCGACACTTTCACCTTTGAGCATCACCCACAGCCTCAATGGCAATCCCATCATAGACAACGCGATCATCCCCCCCAAAGAATCGCCCATCCCGCGGGCTCCGAAGAGACGAGAAGAAACACACCCCCTCCCCTCGCCAAGGGGCCAAGGGGAGGACCTAGACGATCACCAGCGATGCAGACCTACCTCTCCGCCTCCGAGAATACTCTATCAAAATGGACAACACGCCGCTCCACCCAGACATCACGACCCTCCCGCCCGACACGGGCCAGCGCCACGGCGACTTCCTCACCGCGATCCCCTACAACCGGTCAATGTACCGCACCACCCTCCTCCTCCGCCTCGCCTCCATGCTCAACGCCGTCATCATCCTGGCCTCGCTCGCATCGCAAAAGGAAGACGACGCCTTCATCCACGACAACTGGTCTTTCGGGTGTCCCACGGCGGTCCTGGCGCTGCTGTGGAGCGCGGGCGATGTAGGCGCGATGCTGGTGCGCGATCGCGGGTTCCGGTGGACGAATAACGATCCGACGAGGCTGCCGCGGAGTACAAAGTTCAGTTGGGGCAAGCCCGGTGCGCATGTGGCTGCGCATTTGCTGATTTGGGTGCCGACGGCGGCGTTTATGGGGATTGTGATTTCGAATTGGTTGTATTATCAGAATGGGGGCGGGTCCTTGGGGTTTGTTGATGCGCGGCAGACGCATACCATGGCGGCGGTAATTTTCTTCATGTTTGTCTTGACGTATGTCTTTCCCAATTGCCGCCTCTCTGGCTTGAGCCTGGAGATATGGGCCCCCTTTTTGAGTTTGAGAGTGGTGGCTAACAACAGACTCGCAGGATGATCCACTTTGCGCTCTTCATATTCGCCATTGTCGAGGTGGACAATGTGCGACGGCACTACTCAGACGTCGTCTTCATTCCGAGGGGCGAGCTGTGCGAGATGGTGCCCGTGCCGCCATCAACGCCGTGGGAGATGTTCTCGCCGCGGAAGCTGCTTCTATCTTATTTTGCGAACCACTATGTTCGCTTCGTGCCCGGAGCAGACGGGACAGTTACTGTTGCTCGAGACTATAGCAGTCGACAGGCGAGGTTTTGAAGAGGACCGGCCATTTACAAACACACATACAAGCCACGACGTTGGCTTTCTGAAACAAGACAGAGGCTCAAGTCGGATTAAAAGACTTGAGTATTTTTTCGAACTCATCAAGAATGGATGCTCGAGAAGCACCATTCATATTACTTTACCTAACTATAACGGAAAGGATTGATAGAAGGAACACTGGATCCTCCGCAGGATCATCGCAGAAACAAGCGCCATTTGATTTTAACAACAGCTGGATTGATACCCAGGGATATATGGAGTAGGTATGGCAGTCATTTAGCAGCAAATAATGGAAAATAGTAAAAAAGCATCAACATCTCATCTTCAGCTTCTTCCTGCCCCTGACCAGCCGGTCCAGTGCTGGCAGTCTCGTGTTTCGGCCCTGCCAATCAAGTCAGGCGGACTAGCACGTGACGCGTGACGTCAAGCCCCGCGGCTCCGTGTCGCTGCACAGTGGCGTCAGGCTGGGTCTCGGAGCCTTGAGGAGGGTCTCTTTTTGAGGGTCTTTGAGGGTCTTGGGCGGGACAGCTTTCCAATTTCCACCCTCAGTTCCAGGGAATGATTACGATTAGATAAGAAATAGGTGCGAGGGGATAGGTGCCCAATTCTTCGTGAACCATGCAAGTTATTCCCAAGAGACACCGCGTGATAGGTGGCCGCGAACTGCAAGTGAATGACCAAGACACAATCTTAGGTAAGGCATTGGGACCAATGTAGCATCTGCATGAAATGGTAAGGAAAAATACCCGGCACATTGAGACCATGAGGAAGGCAGGAAGAAAAGGTCCTCCTTCTTGCCGCAAGAGTCACTGCCCGGGAGTCAATGGAGGACGGAGAAGGCGGTCGGGGTACGTACCGCTTACTCGTGCTTGCATCACACCTGTTTCCTGAGGTGGGCAAGAGCAGAGAGAGCACGGTGCACGGGAGATGCATTTTGCATTTATTGGTGCCTTATCGCCTCGCTACCCTATCGCTTATCAGCTTTTTTCAAAATTTTGAGGTCGTTTGCCCCACTAAGGTACCAACTCTGCGAACATGGAGCCTGGCCGCAGCATGTACCCAGCGGACTGCCCGCTCTCAGCGTGGGCTGCGCTGTGTGCTGGGTGTGAGCCTGTGAGGTGTGTCCAGTTGCCCCTCCCCACCTAAAATCATCCTTTCTCCAGCCTGCGAGGGGTGGTGGGTGTGTGTTTCGCACCGCCGCTCTTTGTCTCTTTCTCTGTGTGTGTGTGGTCATCCTGCCGCCAGACGTCAACCTTTCGAATTTTTTCTTTTCTCCTACACGCCTCATCCTCCCAACTCTCCTCTCTCTCCCAGTCGACTTCATCGCCGACTTGATACCTGCGTGACACTTTTACGGTCGTCGACGCATCACTAGGACACACAAAAAGGTCTTCTTCGTAGCCTTTTTTCCCCCTCCTTTTTTTTTCTCAGTCTTCTTTTTGGGCGACCACAGGTTCCCCGCCATCGCTTAGAGGGAAAAAAAAATAACCCCGCCATCAACCACAAACCACCGTCATCATGGTTTCCTCATCCAAGGAGAAGAGACTCGCCAAGAAGGCCGCCGAGGGCAAGCTCGATAAGAAGAAGGGCTCTAAGAATGTCAGCACGACTGCCTCATCGGTCAACGGTGATGAGGTCGCCGCCAACAATGACTCGGAAGAGATCAAGCGCCTCGCCGACCAGATGGACAAGCACGGCATTTCTGACCGTGTCACCACCGGTGTCCTGGCCTCCACCCAGGCTAGCAGAGACGTCAAGATCACCAGTGCCTCCCTCGTCTTCCACGGCCGCGTCCTCTTCAACGATACCACCCTCGAGTTGACCTACGGACGCCGATACGGTCTCCTGGGAGAGAACGGTTGCGGAAAGTCCACTCTTCTCAAGGCCATTGCCGCCCGCGAGTTCCCCGTTCCCGAGCACGTCGATATCTACCTGTTGAACGAGGGTGCTCCTCCCACCGACCTCGGTGCCCTTGAATGGGTCGTCACAGAGGCCGAGCGCGAGATGGAGCGTCTCGACAAGTTGGCCGAGAAGATCCTCGAGGACGAGGGTCCCGAGTCCCCTGTCCTTATGGACCTGTACGAGGTATGTTCCCTCCCCGCTTCCCTTCCTTTCCTAGACCTGAAAGCCTAGGCCTGGACCTTTAGAAACCGATCATGATCTAACAGCCTCGTAGCACATGGAGAAGATGGACCCCTCTACCTTCTCTACCCGCGCCTCCCTTATCCTGACGGGTCTGGGTTTCAACAAGGTCACCATCCACAAGAAGACAAAGGACATGTCTGGTGGCTGGAGAATGCGTGTCGCCCTTGCCAAGGCTCTGTTCGTCAAGCCCTCGCTGCTGTTGCTCGACGACCCCACTGCCCATTTGGATCTCGAGGCCTGTGTGTGGCTTGAGGAGTACCTCAAGAAGTGGGACCGTACCTTGGTCCTCGTTTCCCACTCCATGGATTTCCTCAACGGTGTCTGCACCAACATGATCGACATGCGTGGCAAGCAGCTTCTCTACTACGGAGGTAACTACGACATCTACGACAGAACCCGTACCGAACAGGAGACGAACCAGATGAAGGCGTACCAGAAGCAGCAGGACGAAATTGTGCACATCAAGAAGTTCATTGCCAGCGCCGGTACCTACGCCAACTTGGTTAGACAGGCAAAGTCTCGTCAGAAGATTCTCGACAAGATGGAGGCCGACGGTTTCATCCAGCCCGTCATTCCCGACAAGGTCTTCACCTTCCGTTTCGCCGACGTCGAGAAGCTTCCCCCTCCCGTCCTGTCGTTCGACGACGTTACCTTCTCCTACTCTGGCGACCCCAAGGACGACCTGTACCGCAACATCGATCTCGGTTTCGACATGGACTCCCGTACCGCCCTCGTCGGACCCAACGGTGTTGGCAAGTCTACCCTGCTGCGCCTAATGACCGGCAAGCTCTCTCCCACCGCCGGTTCCGTCACCCGCCACACCCACTTGAAGCTTGGTCTGTACTCCCAGCACAGCGCTGAGCAGCTCGACTTGACCAAGTCCGCCCTGGACTTCGTCCGTGAGAAGTACGCAGAGAAGTCCCAGGACTACCAGTACTGGCGCCAGCAGCTCGGCCGCTACGGTCTGACCGGTGAGGCCCAGACCTCCCTGATCGGCACCCTGTCCGACGGACAGAAGTCCCGTATCGTCTTCGCCCTCCTCGCCATTGAGTCCCCCAACATGCTGTTGCTCGACGAGCCTACCAACGGTTTGGATATTCCCACCATTGACTCTCTGGCCGAGGCCATCAACGCCTTTTCCGGTGGTGTCATCGTCGTCTCCCACGACTTCAGGTAAGAGTCTACCCTCTACTTGCGCGTTTAGATGTACTCGATACTAACTCTTCCATAGACTTCTTGACAAGATTGCCAAGCAGATTCTCGTGTGCGAGGACCGGACCATCAAGCCTTGGGGCGACTCCATCGGAGCGTACAAGAACTACCTTCGCAAGAAGATGGTTTCTGCCGGCGCTGTCTAAAACAGTATCGGTGGCGAGACATTTTTCGTTTCGGATGCATCTCCCTCTTCAGCGTATGGTTTCTTTCTCCCCGGGAGGAAAATAGAACAAAAAAGTGTTTGTTCATGACTTTTATGAAGAAAAAGTACCGCCATGACCGTCACGACCAGGCCGGATGGGCTGCTGCGGAAATAAGGGAAACGGACAACCTATACCCCCCTTCGTTCCCTCCCTCGAGACGGCGGAAACGGTGGGAAAAGAGATTGAAGCGGGCATGGGACGGCATCGAGGGAAGACATTATCAGCATCCATTAGGGCGGCTGCTGGCACGGCATGGGATAGATAGATATCTGCAGCTGCGAATTTTTTTTTTCCCCTTGTTTTTCATCGTCTTTGTGTAGATGACGAGGACAATAGAGGCCATGAGCCATTGATTTGAGCAACTTAGGAAGCATTTGATCTTGAGATGATTGTGATGTGTTGCATACTGTGGTCGATAGTGCGAGGCTATAGGATCGAGTGGGATGAACTGGCGATTGTAGACGCCTTGAATTAAGTAGATTGCTATTTACGGGTCAAATTAAATTTCTTTCTCTTTTTTTTCCCCTTCCAGATTTCACCTAAGAGATACTATTACCGTGCCTCAGTTATGGTGACAATAGAGGGAGAAAGGTCAAGACATGCATGCTTCAAGGATATGGCATACGAGGCTGCAAAAGCTCGCGAATCATAGAGTAGGAGTTGGAGAGCAAGATGAACGAAAGGCGAAGACTGCACGTGATCAAAATCCCACGGGAGCTCTGACCCGGGTACAACGGCTAGATCGGAGCTGGGTGTTTCTGAACCAGGGGCAGCCAATCAGGTATCCGGGGAACGCGTGGGATGAGGTAAGCGAAGACGGGGTTGGCGTTGTTGGCTCGTTGGGTGGGAGTCTGCGTGATGAGCTTTTGCTGTTCAGAGTGGTGAAGATGTAGTGATCACTTTTCTGCATAGACGCATCAGATGTTCAGAGAGAAGTTGACCAGCATAGAGGATGGTCGACAGGAGAATGGAATGGTCACAGGCTTTCGTCCGCCGGAGAGGCGGGAGAATTTGCATGCGTGATGGAATTGGGGTCGAATTTGCTGATTACATTGCTGAGGGTGCGATGCGCTAACAATTTCTATTAGGATGGACCATGGATGCCCATGTTCCCAGTCCCCTAATTACCTTTACCGTGTTGTTGGCTTTTTGGGTACTTCCAGGCACAGAGGCTACCTTGTCTCTGGCATTGCCGGTAGATGTCTCTTTCTTAATGGTTCGTTAGAGATAATCTCTGAAGGGGGACGTGATTGATAATTGAGTCCAACATCGTGGTCGCGAGAATGAGATAGGAGGGGACGGGGGAAAAGAAGGGGAGGATAGGTTTGACCCTGAATTCAAAGGACTGACGGGGGGAAAGTGGGAAAAAAAGGTTCAATTTGTTTTCGATTGGGGGCTGACGCTGCAGCGGGTTTCGGAGGGTGGGAACTTGAGAAGTCGCTGGGAAACCCACTTCGTGATCCATCATGAGGTACCTACGCCGTCCACGATAGGGGGGGCGATTATCGCCGGTGCACACCACGCGGTTCGGTCCAGAACCTCTGGCAATGGTTGTATGAGGTATCTTGGTTGCATAGAAGGGATGAGATACTAAGGTATTTCCACAAGATGGAACTTTGCGAAAGATCAATTTCTCTTCTGCGCCGTCACTGAATAGGATGATTTTGTTTTTTCGCATCCTGATTGCCGAGGTGATGGTGATTTCTGATCATGTGGGCGAAATTGAGGCCATTCCCAGAAGGTTTTTGTGTGAGCCGATACTCTTTGGGGGAGATGTGTCAGCAGCAAGTACAAATCGGTATCTCACTGCTTTCTATGCCCCAGGCTCATCTTCCAGGCTGTCTCCTTCCCAGGACTGCGGAGTTGATCTGCTATTTTGCGGTGCATATCTTGCATTTCCGCTGGCCGCTGGTCGTGTTTTACAGTCTTCCAGCGTCTGGCGTCTGAAAACAACGGGAACAACGAGGTGTTGGGTGACTTGGTCAGGGCAGAGGGTGGTGGCCCAGAGCAGCCGAAGCGTGGGACGGGGAAGGCGGCTGAAATGCCTCACTGGTAGACGAAGTGCTGGGCTGTATTTTCGGGTGAGAGATGCGCTGGAAGATACATAGGGGAACAAGTCGTCTGGACTGAAGTGGGGGACTGGGCGGCCGGGGGCAAGGAAGGCACGAACAGGAGGAAGCAACCCAAGAGGCTCAGACGTGGCCCGGGATTGGCGGGAGCATCTGCGCTAGCCCCGAGTTAGCAGCCCGCGGTGGTGAGGTACCTGGACGGTGGAGCGCGCCCTGCACCTTTTGGCGACGTGTGGTGCAGGTGCACCTGCTTGCACCTGTCCTTTGCGACTCGCGAGTTTTTGACGGTAGGGAAGTGACGACTGACGAACCACCCAAAATTGATGAAATCGGGGGATCCTCACGGGAGAAGGAACTGACAGGTCGCGCCTTCCCTGGGATCTGGGTGAGGACGTGGAGGCAGGCACACGATGTGCCACCAGGACGTTCCTTCCTTTGGCTTCCATTTCGTGGCAGTTGCTCTTTCCCATGTTGATACTACATGTTCATAGATATCTGATTTTTTTTTGTTGTTCATAAACGATGATTCTGTTCATTGCTGCATTGCATACTGCCGAGAAAAGACATCCAGTAATTAGTACACATCCACACACACATTGCATCGCATCGCACATCCCCGACGATCTTGGACCACGACGGCGAACAACTGGAGACACGCCTGGAAAGTCTGGAAAGTCTGGAACTGGAAGGGACGGACGGGGACGGGGTCTTCCACTCGACTGCATCGGCATCGCCCTCACCCACCCCCCATCCCATCCATCCATCCTTGGACCATTGGATCACCCACGCGCTTGGCTCAAGTTGTTCACCCCTTCTCTCCAGTCTTGTCTTGATCGCTCACTCATCCATTCACTTCCAGCTTGCTCTCTCTCTCTCCTCCGAGTCCCAAGTGCATCAAAGTCCGCCCGCCCACACACCCGATTGGCAAGACGCACTCACAATTCCCTTGCTTCCTCCTCTTTCCATTCAACATTGACGAATACCTACACCATCGATCCGATATTTCTTACCTCTCCTAGTCATCATCAATCATCACCACGATACGGAGTACCATACCCACAAAGAGCTCTAAAAGCATCGTCGCCACATGCACACGACGCCTTCACCACCACACATACCTAGTACTCTGTACACACTCGCAACACACAACACACACACGTACGAATACCCCGGCAAGGTCATACCAGCATAGCAGCGCAGCCCATCACCGATCCAGCTCCAGCTCCAGCTCAGCTAGCTTCATTCCAAGACACACCCGGTGATACCGCCCAGCCAAGGGCCCAAGACAACAGCCAAAGCCAAAAGCCGCAAAGCAACACGGACTGTGGAGTTGGACATCCTCCCCAAGGCTCAAGGCTCAAGGCTCAAGCATCTCCAATACTCCACTCACGCAGACTCAACCCTGCTTGCGCGCCCATCCCATCGCATCGCAGTCTGCAAAGCCGAACCTGGGCCACCACCATAACCACCACCACCACATCCACCACCCATCCTGCTGGTCTGGCCTCCTCTTCTCGTTTCTCTCTCTCGCTCGCTCTCTTCTCGTGTCAGAGGGACAGGTCATCCTCCACCCCATCCTCATCCACGTTCCCCCCGACCTTAGCCCCGACATTCGCACTCCATACCACCAAATCTCTTGATCCGACACACAATTCCATCATCGCCACCCACTTCTCCCACCGTTCTTCAGGTTTCTCGGTCGACCGCTCATTTCAACTCTGCCGCCAGCACCGCGAATAGCATCACCGACGCCCGCCATCACCATTTCCCATCGAACCCCATACCACGGTACCACCAATTCTTGAACCACACACCCCTGCACCTCCCCACGACGCCAACTTCCGACTCCACGTCGTTTTTTCGCGATCCGCCTCACTTGCTTCACTCCTGTTCAAAACCCCCAACGCGTAACCCAATCACCTCCCCTCGACTGTCCACCACCCATTCTGCTCTGCACATGGGTCCGCGATCCTCGCTGTAGTCATCAATCCCCTCTCCTTCCTTCCTTTCCCTTTCCCTTCCCTCTCCTTTCTTTCCTCATCCTAACCCCCCCTCCCCCACCCACTACTACAGCATCGTCCAGCTACGAGCGCCATCCGCGTACAAGTCGAGTAGGGTCCTGCGACAACGACGCCATTGCCGCATCCCGTCACGATGGACCACCCTAAAGACTTCCGCTCGACGGTCCTGCAGGCGCCCTCCCGTCACGATGACCGCGACGACGACCGTGATCGCGACCGCCGCCGCCATCGCGACATCATGAATCCCACGCCCGGCAGCACGCGCCATTCCGGCTTCAACTTGCGATCGCCTACCCAGTCCGAGTACCATCACCCCCCGCATTCTTCCTACTCGTCGCCCAAAGCAGCCTCGTCGACGTCCCATGCGCTCCCGCATCACTCACCGCGATCCCATCAGTCCGGCCTGTCGCATCCGAATCCTTACTCCTCCTCGTCGGCAGCCGGCGGTCCGCTTGCGCCCTCGCTGCCCGCGCTCGGCGGTGCCAGCAGCAGCTCGGGAGCTGGACATCATCAGGCTCCGCCGTTGTCGCCGTTGCACCCCCCGAGCGGATACTACCCGCCACCCGAGTCGCATCAGACGCGCGAGAAGCCTGCTACGAGCAGCTACTACGATCCGTTGACTGACACTACAAGAGAAAGGAGGGTGTCTGACGCAGGTTGGAACAATAATGCGGCCAATGGCTCGCCCAAGGTAAGAGATAATTCCGTAATTCTGTCATTCATGATTCAACTGCCACGGTGGCATCGCATTGGTGTATATACGATGCGATGCTGCCGGGTGTATTCCCGTGTTTGCTACTGCTTCTTGTCCTGGCTCTGTACCATCCTTACCCATCGTCACCTCCCAAGAAGCTCCTCCATGCCCATCATTCCAACCTTGGCTCCCCCTGCTCCTCTTCCTCGTGTACCGTAGCCATATAGCAGTAGCATCCAGCACCAGCAGAGACAGCAATAGGAGCAATCCGGGTGGTTTGTTTCTGTTTGGCCATGCCCGATTGCTGTCTGTGCTCTAGATCTTTTTAGTGGCCACACTGGTGCTGGTGCTGGTGTTGGAGGTTGTGCTTACGCCGTCTTTGTACCCTTTGCTCCCTTTCCCCCATCCGGATTTTCGGAGACGATGGTGTGGAGAGGACGCAGCGGAGCACCTCAGGCGTAAGGATACCTACCTTACACACAGAGAGAGGTCAGACGAGAAGAGCGAGATATGGGGGAGAAACAGGAGGGTGAGAGATTGCGAGAAGAGCAGCAACAGCAGCAGTGCCGCTGGATAAGAAACACCGCGGAATGCTTGGATCCCCTATTGTTCACGGCTTCAATGACACCGGCGTCCCCCAGTTTTTTCCCTGTAACTTTGGCACCTTTTTTTTTTTTCTTTCCCCCTTCCTCTCCTTCTCGTCATTTTCGTCCCTTGCCTTTCCTTCCCCGTCTCTCTTGTCGTCCGTCGCCTCGCTTCGTGCTCGTGTCGTGGCGCTACCTCATTCACGTTCCGTATCCATACACAGTACACCCGTCTGTCTATCTCGATCCATCAATTTCCCATCCCTTTCCCTCTTTTTTCCTTTTTACTCTTCTGTTTTCCCTTGCACATTCACACGATTTTTGTTCCCTTTCCAACCCCGACACGCGTAAGAGGAAGCACGACCAAGCACAAGCATCGGCACCTGCACACCCAGCACCAGCAGCCACTTTCTCGTCCATCTCCAACTTTACCCGAGGGACAGAAAAATCCCAACCAACCCAAACCTCAACCCAAATTTTAATTCCATCACGGCCACCTCCATTCCTTCGCCTTGACTAATTTTTTCTCTTGTTCATCATCAAACAGACCACACGCGGCGATCCCTACGGCAACTACTCTCAACCCGAGCCGGCATCTCGAGACTCGCACGCGTATTATAAGAACGGCAGCGCAGGATACACGTCGCCATCAGCAGCCAACTTCCCCCCGAGGAGTCCGCGATCCCACTCACATTCGCACTCCAACTCCCACTCCCACTCTCATCAACCACCTACCGGTTCCATCAGCCCATCGATCAGGGCAACGCCGCACATGACGTCCCCCAGTCTGCGGCATGCTGCGTCGCCCAGCGTGCATGCATCTTCCAATGGTGGCGCCGTCGCGTCTCTGCCTCCTCTGGCCAAGGCCGAGCCGTCTCCCTTGAAAGCTCCTGCTAGTGTCAGTAATACTGCAATTGACTACCTTGATAGACCAAGAACTGACTTTTCCGCCACAGACCCCCAGTCGCGCTGACCCTATGTCTTTCTCCAACATTCTCTCGAGTGCCGAGCCCGTCTCGAAACCAAAATCGAAATCACCACCACCCGTCGAAGAGAAAGAAAAGGAAAGGGAAAAGGAAAAAGAGAAGGAGAAGGAGAAGGCTGTTGAGCCCAAGCCCGACCGTGAGAAGCCCCGCTCCGTCGACCCTCCAGTCAAGACCGAGCGCACCGAACGCAGCGAGCGCGAAGCCGAGATTGAACTCCGACCGGAGCCCGTCAAGGAGAGATCCAGCACTCCCCTGGCCCGTAAGGAGAGAAAAGAGCGAGTACCTAGAAAGTCAAAGTCGAGAGCTTCCGATATCAGAGATGCCGAATCGACTCCCAAGAGCAGCCGCCGTGCTTCGTCCAAACTCGAGACACCGACGCCTCGCATCCCCTCCAAGCGCCAGGCCAATGGCCAGCCGAAGCAAAAGACCCTGCCCGCCGATAAGGAAAAGAAGGTCACGGATCTGATTGCTCAGCTCGATGCCGATGCCGACGAGCTTACCGACTCCGAACTCACAGCTGATCGTGCCGAGTACCAAGAAAGCGGCAACAAGCGACGTCGCCTCTTGCAAGATAAGGATAGCAAGCGGAATGTCGAGCGACGCGACGAATTCTCGAGAGAGATGGGCCGCAGATTGGGCACTCATGCCGATCTCGGCAAACGCCGCTACGACGACATCTACTACGAGGAGGCCATGAACGAGGTCCGAGAACGTGAGCTCTTTGCCGAAAAGGAGCGCAAGAAGGACATGCAGCGCAAGCGTCGTCGTGAAAAGTCCATGGCTGTCACTATGGAGCAGCAAAAGCTTGCCCTGGAGCGCGCACGATTGGCCGAAGATGAGACCGAAAAGGCGAAGCATCTGCGGGATGCCGAGCGTGCTAACAAAAAGGCTCTGCAAACGAAGTTGATTCTCCAAAAGGGCATCAAGGGCCCCGCTCGCAACCTCGTCGAGCTCAACCTGGACGGAGGCACCATGGCCACCTTCCAAGCGTCCGACATGGAACCCGGCACGAAGCCCAAGGGCAAGGGTCGCAGCGGTCCTCGGCCCAAGAAGTCGAAGGAGCAGAAGCAGGCCGAGAAGGACGCTGCAGAGGCTGCGCAAGCCGCCATCGACGCTGGCGAGGAGCTCCCGATCAAGGAAGAGGGCAAGATCCGCATCAAGTTCAACAAGAAGTCCAAAGACAAGGACAAAGAGAAGAACAAGGACAAGGATGTGGATCAGGACGAGCCCGACGTCGAGGTCGAAGGCGACGGCGACGTCGACATTGACGAGGATACCATCGTCGAGCCCGTCAAGGAGAAGAAGGAGCGCAAGAACAAGAAAGAAAAGAAGGAGAAGAAGGAGGAGAAGCCCGAGGAGCCTCCCAACAAGGACGCCAAGTTCGAGACCAAGGGTTTCCTCCAGATTTACGACCAGATTTGGCGCGACCTCGCCCGCAAGGATGTCTCCAAGACCTACAAGATGGCGGCCGAGTCCTACCAGACCAAGGCGTCCAACCTTAAGAAGACAGCCATCCTCGCATCTAAAGAGGCCAAGAGGTGGCAGCTGCGGACGAACAAGGGCACCAAGGATCAGCAGGCCCGTGCCAAGCGTGTCATGCGTGACATGATGGGCTTCTGGAAGCGCAATGAGCGTGAGGAGCGCGATCTCAGAAAGGCCGCTGAGAAGCAGGAGATTGAGAACGCCCGCAAGGAAGAAGCCGAGCGCGAAGCTGCCCGCCAGAAGAGAAAGCTCAACTTCCTTATCTCGCAGACCGAGCTGTACTCCCATTTCATTGGCAAGAAGATCAAGACGGACGAGGTCGAACGCAGTACCGATAACCCCGAGATTGCTGCCGAGAACAAGGACGAGACTGCGCACAACAAGCATCTCGATATCGCTGAACCTACAGGACCTCTGGGCGCCAAGGTCACCGACTTTGAGAACCTCACCTTTGAGGAGGAAGACGAGGAGAATTTGCGCCAAGCAGCCATGGCCAATGCTCAGAATGCCATCGCCGAGGCACAGAGAAAGGCCAGAGCTTTCAACGAGCCCGAGGGTCCCGACATGGACGAGGAGGGCGAGATGAACTTCCAGAACCCTGCCGGCATGGGCGACGTCGCCATCGAGCAGCCCAAGCTCATCAATGCGCAGCTCAAGGAGTACCAGCTCAAGGGTCTCAACTGGCTCGCCAACCTGTACGAGCAAGGTATCAACGGCATTCTCGCCGATGAGATGGGTCTCGGAAAGACGGTTCAGTCTATTTCCGTCATGGCCTACCTCGCAGAGAAGTACGATATCTGGGGTCCGTTCCTCGTCGTCGCGCCCGCGTCTACGCTTCACAACTGGGAACAGGAAATCCGAAAGTTCGTCCCCGAGTTCAAGATTCTTCCGTACTGGGGTTCTGCTGGTGACCGAAAGGTTTTGCGAAAGTTCTGGGACCGCAAGCACACCACCTACAAGAAGGATGCATCGTTCCACGTCTGTGTTACGTCGTACCAGCTCGTCGTCTCCGATGTTGCCTACTTCCAGAAGATGAAGTGGCAGTACATGATTCTCGACGAGGCGCAGGCCATCAAGAGCTCTCAGAGTTCTAGATGGAAGAGCTTGCTCAACTTCCACTGCCGTAACCGTCTCTTGCTCACGGGTACTCCTATCCAGAACAACATGCAGGAACTGTGGGCCTTGCTCCATTTCATCATGCCGTCGCTCTTCGATTCTCACGACGAGTTCAGCGAGTGGTTCTCCAAGGATATTGAGTCACATGCACAGAGTAACACGAAGCTCAACGAGGATCAGCTCAAACGTCTGCACATGATTCTAAAGCCATTCATGTTGCGTCGTGTCAAGAAGCATGTCCAGAAGGAGCTTGGAGACAAGATCGAGGAGGACGTCTACTGCGATCTTACCTACAGACAGCGCGCCATTTACAGCAACCTGCGGAACCAGATCAGTATCATGGATCTCATCGAGAAGGCTACGACAGGCGACAATGACGACTCTGGCACTCTCATGAACCTCGTCATGCAATTCCGAAAGGTTTGCAACCATCCCGACTTGTTCGAGAGAGCCGACACGACGTCCCCCTTCTCGTTCGGCTACTTCGCGGAGACGGCTTCTTTTGTCAGAGAGGGCAACAACGTCGCCGTCGGCTACTCTACTCGAAACTTGATCGAGTACGAGCTGCCTCGTCTCCTTTGGAGACAAGATGGCAGGCTCTACAAGGCCGACCGCGGCAACCTGAAGGCTGGCTGGCGCAACAAGAACCTGCAGCACATGATGAACATTTTCACTCCGGAGCACATCCGTGACAGTCTCGAGGGATCCGACGCGTTTTCCTTCCTGCGCTTCGCTGATACCAGCCCGGCCGAGGTCTACAAGGCTAGTCACGAGGACGTCTTCTCTCGTGCCGTCGAATTGTCTCAGAAGAAGGATCGCTTGCCCCTCATGAAGATTGCTTACGACGACGCCGAAGACGCCAACTTCACCCCTGCTCATGCCTTGTTCAAGATTGCCGCCCGCAACAACAGACAACCCCTTGCAGACATCACTCAAGAGGGCATCATGGCCAACCTCATGAACGTGGCCCGAGAGGAGTATGTCGACAGCGGCTTGGGACGCTTGGAGCAGGCCGGTCGTCCGCGCGCCTCTGCTCCACCTATTGAGGTAAGCTGCTGTAGCAGTGGAACCGGTCTGGAGACGGAAAGCATCCTTTTCAACAGACCCATGCGCAAGAGTCTGTTTGGCCCCACGATCCAGGAGGAACGGGCCATGGTTACTGAGAAGCTTCCCTTTGACCGATTCCCGCCCCGCAAGTTGCTCCCTGCGCCGGACAACGACAAGAAGAAGTTCAACAACATTGCGACTCCCTCAATGCGCCGTTTTGTTACTGACAGCGGCAAACTGGCCACTCTCGACAAGTTGTTGACCAAGCTCAAGGCCGAGGGTCATCGTGTGCTGCTCTACTTCCAGATGACACGCATGATCGACCTCATGGAGGAGTATCTTACGTACCGCAATTACAAGTATTGCCGTCTCGATGGTTCGACCAAGCTCGAAGACAGAAGAGATACCGTCGCCGACTTCCAGACTCGTCCCGAGATCTTCATCTTCCTTTTGTCGACCCGTGCTGGTGGTCTCGGTATCAATCTTACCTCTGCCGACACCGTCATCTTCTACGACTCCGATTGGAACCCTACGATCGATTCGCAGGCCATGGACAGAGCTCACAGATTGGGTCAGACTCGCCAGGTTACCGTGTACCGTCTCATCACTAAGGGAACGATTGAGGAGCGTATCCGGAAGCGTGCCATGCAAAAGGAAGAGGTGCAGCGCGTCGTCATCCAGGGAGGTGGTGCCAGTGTTGACTTCTCTGGTCGCCGCGCTCCTGAGAACCGCAACCGCGATATTGCCATGTGGCTCGCCGACGATGAGCAGGCGGAGATGATTGAGCAGCGTGAGAAGGAGATGCTCGAGGCCGGCGAGTTCGACAAGCCCGAGAAGAAGAAGAAGACGACGAAGCGCAAGCGAGTGGTCAATGAGGATGTCAGCCTTGACGAGATGTACCACGAGGGTAAGTTGTTTGCTGTCCATGCTACCCACAGACATACTAACATGTTTACAGGCGAGGGCAACTTTGATGACAACCGCAACGGAGCCAACGGAACCTCGGGTACCGCCACGCCTGTAGCCGAGCCTGAGGTGAAGGGAGCCAAGAAGCAACGCAGAGGCGGTGGCAAGAAGGCCAAGACACTGAAACAGAGACTCGCCCTTGCCGACGGACAAGTCTAGTTCGTCGTCGACAGGCCGTCTGATTCAAACAGAAGACGACGATAGATAACGAGAGGTCACTCGTTGCGCACAGATGAGCGGAAAACGGAGGTTTCGATTGTAGCAATATGGTTTATGGGTAGGACACGCTGGGCGCGCGTGAGATATGCCTGGCGTCGGAGTGAACAACGCGATTTGCATCAAGATGACGGTCGTGGCTATTATTATGGACGAATGCCGCGACTCGTTTGTTAGACTTTACAAAAAAGCTTCAGTATGTTTGTATTCTTTCTATTTCTCGCGAGGTTAGGATGGTTTTGGGGTCTGGCGGTTCGACTCTAGACGATCTTGGTCTCGCATGGGGGGGTTCCTGATCACGGCAGTCAATCCCTGGAGACACAAGGTGGATGGCGGCATTCAGATTGAGTTGTACGAGGCCTCGGGTCGTTGGAGCCCGATGGTGCGTGTATTAGTACTACCTTTAGACGAATGAAGTCGATTCCGAGATGAATCTCGTATGGTTATGCTTGTGATGGTGATGTTTAGGCCTTGGTGATGGCCCACGGCTCTGCGGTTAGCATGTCGGTTAGGCCTGTTGAGGGAGTCGGGGATGGTACGGTTGTTGTGTATCCTGCTGATTGTAGGCTTGCCGAGGAGGGTGAGAGTGGGTATGATAGTGGTTGTGGGATTGTGGAGGTTGAGAAGGGGGGTGTTGTGAGGATTAAGGGGTTGCCGTGGACTATTAAGGAGTTGTTAGGTAAAGAAGGAGAAGGGGGAAGAAGGAAGAAGAGAAGGGGGAATAAGAGAAAGGGGAATAAGAGAAGGGGGAAGAAGAGAAGGGAGAAAAAGAGAAGGGGGAAGAAGGAGAAGGGGGAAGAAGGAGAAGGGGGAAGAAGGAGAAGGGGGAAGAAGGAGAAGGGGGAAGAAGGAGAAGGGGGAAGAAGGAGAAGGGGGAAGAAGGAGAAGGGGGAAGAAGGAGAAGGGGGAAGAAGGAGAAGGGGGAAAAGGAGAAGGAGGAAGAGAAAGGGGGAAAAGAGAAAGGGGAAAAAGAGAAAGGGGAAAAAGAAAAAGGGGAAGAAGAAAAAGGGGAAGAAGAGAAGGGTATAAAGGGTTTAAGGGTGGATATGGATGTATGCATTTTAAATATGTATAATTATTATTATATCTACGCTCCTTTTTCGGGGAGAGTTGTTAAGGCGAGGAAGGCTAGGGGCTTGGCTTGCTTTAAGATTGTCGTTGCTGAGGGGGAGAAGAGACCAACTTGCCGGCAAGGTGAAGGGATCCTAAAGCGGACGGAGGAGAGGGGAATGACGGCGCCCAACTCGCCGCGCTATCATTTCCTTCAGACCCGAGGCATTGTAATCATTAAGAATCCTCTCTTGGGAAAAGTCGCGGTATTGCCTGTGGGTATGGCCATGGTTTCTTCTATGAAGTTGAGTGTCAAAGTTGGCAATATTGTGATGAAGGGGGATGAGATTGCGGGTTTTGCGCTTGGGGGGAGTGACGTTGTTTGTGTCTTGAGAGCAGGGCTGGGTTGAGGGTTGAAGATTTCGTGAGGAGTCCGAGGGGGGACCGGCAGTTGTCTAGGTATGGGAGTTTTTTGGCGAGAGTTCCTTAATGAGGTTTGTGAGGTTTGAGGCAAGAAGGTAGTCAATGAACTAATCATTCGTAACTTACCCAGCTATACAGGGCTTGATCGAGAGTTTGCAATGTGTGCTTGTGAGGTTTAGGGGAATCAAGTTTGAGAGTAGATGCTGTGGTCACTACTGGAGTCTTACAATTCACAGTGTGATCATCTTTGCTCAAAATGAACTACCTGAACCTCCAAATGAGATTCATTGGATAACAGCAACGTAAAATCCGTGGCCAACAAAACAAACAGCTACAAGTATCAAAGGAGCTGGCATAACCGCCTTGGCAGCTCTCCAAATGCCAGTCCAAGGAACGAGGATACCCCAACACGCAAGCCCCCAAAGCGGAATCGAGAAAATTGACAAGAGAAGCTTTGAAATGCGTTCATCGTCGACATAAATGCCGAGTAATATTCCAACAAAGGAGTTTACAAGCTGAGTTGGAATGCTGGGAACCAGAAGCTCCGAGAGAGAAACTGGTTTCTCCATTTTCCACTTCGATAGAGCCACTAAGCACAACACCCCTGTGCTAAATATCTGTATCCAAATTGACCAGAATATCAACGTCACCCACCTGGATGTCGACGCGTAGACATGTAAAGAGGCTCTAAAATCCACAGGGTCTCCTTGTAGGACAATATCTTGGTTGAGTCGAGAAAGAACCTTCCTTTCGGCGTCACATGATCTTGTTGACTGCGAAGAGTGGGCCATTGTCGCCCCGGCTTCAAAATCCATTCCGCCTGGGGAAGATAATTGAATTCCTTCCCAAGAAACTGTCTCTATCCTTTGTTGGCAGAGTGCCGAGGACAACAGTGCCTCTCTGATCCTCACGTCGGGGACTTTGGCTACGATCTCCCGAACGAAAGAGCTAGTAAGGCAAAGGACATCAGGACTAGGTCTCTGAGTGGCGGCCAGTTCTACAACGAATCAAAATCTAACTTATCTGCCTACTTCTTGTTGAAAAGTTAGGGCATACCTTGTTGGCGTAGAATCAATAACCTAGCCAAGCTTTTCAACTGTTCCACATCTTCTTCTGAGACCGAAGTCGACTTCTGGGCCATCGTAGCTGACAAAAATGATACCAGAACCGCCGTAACCGGCCCCAGAAGAAGGAAGACTGGCAAGACTTGACCAAAGCCCCAAGCGTTCTCAGAATCGCTCACATTACCCGACGTTCGCGCACGCAAGAGTCGTATCGTGCCCCACGTTGAAGACATAATAAGCCATATTAGCTAAGAAGACTTAGCATAACTTGCGTCCGGATTGACCAGATACTGACTGACGCGTGCGAAGAAGGACTTTTGTACTCACATCGGCCAATTCCGATGATAAGACATCTGAGTAGACCTTCACGACAAGGTAGGCTGAAATTCCCAGATCTAGCGGCCGTAATATGTTGAGGATTATCCCCCGCAACGGAGTAGTGCCGAATTTCTTGCAGCCTGTGGTGGTGACTTGAAGGAAGCGTATGGCCCAGTCGCCGAGCCTTTCCCTGAACTTGTTTCTCGCAACTTCTGTTGTCACACGAAACATTTTGAGGATACGACTGACGGAGCCTAGGATCAAGATGATCAGGGATACGATCACAGTCTGATGTGCTGTAGTCGATGTGATTGAAAGGTCTATCATCTGTTCGCTCGGGAAATCAGGTGTCACATATACGACATTGCAGAAGTACCCATCCGCAGCGGGCTGCCTTAGGTGGTCGTGCATACCAACTGGGCCTTCACAAGCCCTCTGGTCCCATAATGTCTGTGCTATTCGACGTTTGAACAGACATCGAACATTCGAGGAAGGAACACTTGCTGTGCCCTCGGTATACAAGGGTTCATTTGACCACATCCAGTTGAAATAGCTCGTTGGCATCAAGGCGGTGACCAACCCCGCTAAGAAGATGACCATGAAAGCTAGTCTGCAGTTGCGTTCTGTAGGGTGCTCGTAGAGATATGTCCGAAGAGCTGTTAGACAGGCCGCATGAGTGACTGCTGAAAACCAAGCCAGATAGCAAATGATCTGCCAGTGGTATGCTGACACGTAGCAACTTTGGCCGACGAAACTGCTGAGCAATATGCCGAGGCCTGTGAGAAGTTGCATATCACACAAATTCAGCAGAACCTATGTCAGAACTGATTAGTCCCAGACTCAAGTCGAGAGTATGAAAAACTCGCTATATATAGAACAGCCGACTGGCTAAAGACGTCTACCTACCTTAAGGTAAGTAGACAGAACAAAGAAGAACACTTACCTTGGTCATGGCTAAGTTCCAACCGGTGTGTTGACCAAGTCGTCGGCGAATGTGTGAAAACATGTTGGTAGCCTGGACGTCAACAATATTGGGTCTCCAGACATGCTTCCGACCTTCCTTTTGCATGTGGTTTCGTTGTCGATCTTCGAAGGGATCAATATGAGGGTCAAAGGTGAAGCAGTATCGTATGCATATCAGGAACACCACTAGCCACGCTGTCCCAAGAAACCCAATCATCACCTAGTATCCGGTGAAAATAAGTTGATCAGCTTAATTATTTTCCACCAGTTCTGCTGTGGCATCACAGCATATTGATCTTGCGCTCACTTACCCCCACTCCGCCAACATCAGGGTTTGGCTCTAGTTTTCCTGGCACATCTAAGCAGCTTCGATCGCAGATTGACACTAAGGCTTCATCATTCTGATGGTCAATGTGAGAGAAAGGACTAGCCATTCGGATGTTGCGGTAACTTTCGCTGGAGCTAAAGGTAGAAATAATGAAGAGAGATCTCAGTCTGAATCACTTGCTAGGGATGGATCGTTGAAGAAGGATGGAGAGGAATAAGAGAATGACTGAATCAATATGGCGTTTTATAGATACAACGTCACAAGCAACAGGAAATGTAATTTGCCACGTGTCGTCGGCTCCCTTTGTGATACAACGAAATTTAAGGCTCCAGCACTCTCGACGGTGTCTTATAGTGTCTCACAAGACACAAAGAGGGGTAGGTAAATAGTCAAGCCAGGCTACCCCCTTTTCACCTCCCTATTTACACCAATAGTACTATTTTTCACTATAGACGAGTTGCGAAGACAGAGTTGTGATGAATAGTGAAATAACTATATTGGTAACTGGGTCCTATTGATGAACCAGTATGGAAATGGGAACAAGGGGAAAGGGACCGCTACTCGTGAAACGAATGATCGAGACAAGTGCCACATCTGGGAGGTAGACACCGCGTTTCTCTACTAATAAGGATTCAATCATATGTAGTTGAGGTAAGCAGCCAGGACCGCCAAGTAGGTGTTCCCCGGGGACTCCACTAAAGCCAGTGAAGAAAGCTGAACGCAGTCATCAAGGCAAGAAGAGAAGTTATTATGCTGAATAGTCGCAGAAATACTTGCGGGTGGGTCGAGGACCGATCAATTCGAGTAAATCGAGTATCTCTGGCGTCGGACTCTCAGCGAACCGAAATTTTACAAAGATCGAAAATTAATTGAACTGTATTCCGCGAAGGGTATCTAAGAATTGAACGATGACCAGCCGAACGGGGTCCCAAATGGGAGTTCCGTAGCACTACCTCCACCCAAGTCGCAAGGCCATCACTTGCGACCATGATCCTGATCTTTGTAGTCATAACGACTTCAACTCAGGAGCACCGCTCCTAAGCTTCCCACCATCAAGCATTTAGCACTTGGCGCCGGAGCCGGAGGGAATGCCAGAGCACTCAGAAGAGGACTTGCCACCGGTGACGGAGACGCCAGACCACTTCCAGTTGGAGCAGGCACCCTTGGCGCAAAGGATGTACACGTTGGTGCCCTTGGCGGCGACGGTACCCTTAACGTTCTTGACGGTGACGTCGGTGATGGGGATACCAGCGGTGGGCTTGCCGGTAGGGCTGCCGTTCTCGTAATCCTGCTGGATGACAATGCCCTTCTTGTTGATGTTCTTGAGGGTGATGTTCTCGAAGGTGATGCCGTTGACCTTGCCAGTCTTGTTGGCAATGGTCTTGATGCGGATACCGTTGTCGGCCTTCTCGATAGTAGAGTCACGGATGATGACGTTCTGGACGGTGTTGTCGCTACGTCCACCAACGGAGCCGATGGACAGGCCGTGGGAGCCGTAGCAGTATCCGTTCTCGAAAGTGATACCGGTGCCAGAGTTGATAGCCAGGCAGTCGTCCTGGTTGTAGACCTTGGCGCCGGAGATGGTCACGTCAGAAGACGTACCGACATCGAAGGCATCGGTGTTGTGGCCACCCTTGGAGTCACCATCCTTGTTGTCGAAAAGGATGTTGGAGCTAGAGAATAGCCGGGTCAGTATTACTGTCCAAGAAACCAGCAATGAGTTGTGACTTACACCTTGAGGCCAGAAACGCCGCTGATGGAGAATCCGTGGGCCGGGGTGTTCTTGACGTTCAGGCCAGAGATGGAACCGTCGTTGATCTTGACCTTGAAGAACTTGGGCTTCTTCTTGCCACCGTTGCCTCCCTTGCCATCCCACCAGCGCTCACCCTGGCAGGAGATAGAGTTGCCGGAAGCACCGACAACGCTGACCTTCTTACCGCCGATGGCGATAAGGGGGCCCTCCCACTCCTTGTAGCCGAAGGTGGTGGTGCCCTTGAAGGTAACCTTGGTTCCGTCCTTGAGTCCGGTGAGGTCGAGAGTCTCGCCGGCGGGGACCTTGATGCCGTTGAGGACGATGTCGGTGCAGGAGGTCTTCTTGGACATGGCCGTCTTGGCGTCGGTGAAGGTGCACGAGGCACGGGTGTCGAGCTCGGCGGGGGCGGCGGCAGCCAGGGCGCTGAGGCCCGCGACAACGGAGAGGAACTTCATCGTTTCTTGATTTGTTTTTGGTATGTGATCAACACGTGGAATACTTCGAGTATGTACAGAAAATGTCGAATGAGAGACTAGAGTTGGAAAAAAGAACGTGGTTGAAAAGAGTGTGAGTGAAGAAGCACGATGGGGTATCAAGAACAGAAGCAAAAGAGGTGGGCAGAAAAGACAATACTTATATCAAATTGTCGAACATGCAAGACTCTAGGCCTCCTCCTCCCCTTTCATTTAGATGCTGCTTGTTGGAAGCTCGTTGGATTTCCGCAACTGGGTACGGTGCGGCTCCCACGCCGGATAGTCGGCATCACCGTTGTCTATCTCCCCGGTCTCTGGAAGGAGCTAAGAGGAGCCCATGATCTCAAAACCACCTTTAATCTGACCCTGCAGCGCCGGAGTGTTGCCCCGAAGGACCGAAAAGAGGAGGCGACTCTCCACACTGGCTTAAATTATCTAAGCTTCAAATGCTGCAAGCCCGCGGCACGAAGCTAGCACGTGGGGAGCAGAATATTAGAAGAGGTGCTCGCCCACTATCCGATGACCCAGGTCTGACGATGGGATCATACCCGGTCGTTGTGGACTTGGGACGAACAGGGCTGACGGGAACCTACGCCCCAAGCTGGTGTCAGCCGCCCTACCAGCGGAATACCGAGACATGATCATAGATCACCTTCCAAGACTTCCAGACCGTCTGATCGAGCCGGTTTCACCACTTCTGACGCGTGGCGGGAATGAAGAAACTACCTCTTCAGGTAGGATTTCCAATCTCAGTGGCATCTTGGCTTCATCTTGGCATAGGCTTGATTTGCCGATCGATCCGATCATGGAACTCTTGGGATCCAGGAAGACCCAGAAAATCACGGTATTTTACCCACCAGTCGCTGCGGCTGACCCAGTATTTCCCTGTGTGCCTGTGTAAAAGTTGTTTGAAAGGGGAAGTTCCCACAGAAAAGAAATGCCAAGAACGGAGGTGAGGTAAGGATTCTGCAGGAATGTGATAAGGCGTTGTGCATCTTCCAACTTGCTCCAGAATGGCATGTTTCTACTCAGCCAACGACACTGGTCGTTGCAGGAACAATTCCTGTTGAAAGTGAACTCCCGACTCTCATGACGTGAGGCTTATTCCGCGGTCGTCTCGTTAAGAATTTGATGACGAACGAGCATCGGAGAGCCCGGGCTTTACCTAAAGTGGTGTGATTAACCTTAAAGCCCTGATTGCAATCCAAGCATCCGACGACCGACGAGCCGGCTGCCTTGTGGGGACAGAGCCTCTCCTTTCGGCGGATACGGACTTGCGCGTATACTTTCCCTGTCAGCCGCCGGGAAGCTGTAAGGGGCGAGCAGGCCTCCTATTCTCGGCCCCGAATTGGACTCACTTGAAGACGGACAAGTTATCAGTGACAGGTTTAGACGAATGGGCTTGGGTGAACTTCGGGCTTGATCCGACGGTGGACATTTCCGTCATCTACTTGGACCAGGGGGCCCCTTGGGCCCTTTTTAATCGGGTTCCGAACTTTGCGACTCACCTGCTTTTAGCGTCGGATTTTGCTGATTCATAGTGGGCTTATGGATTGGATCTAACCGACTCGAGTAGTTTTTGCCAACTCACGGTGCAATTTCGAACGGCAGCAAAAACCGACTTGGTAGTGGTTCATGCAGCATCATTCAAACTTACACACTTTAGCCACCGGATTCTGGCCATGGAGATTCAACATACATGAAACTGCCGGTCCTTGGAACACTTTATTTCTGTCTCCGCATTACGCTAGAAGAAAAAAGAAAATACGAAGTCTTGTCTGGTGAATGGTGGTGGATTTGATCTTTTGTGAGCTGTCTCTCTTCTGCGCGGCCAGTTGCGGATATCCCCCTACAAATGACTCCGGAGTTCGTCTTCGGTCCATTTCCATAACTCCTCCCTTTTGTCCTTGTCCTTGCTCAATCTCGTACCTTTACCGGTGACACCAACTGGGAAGTAAAAGGTGCCGCTCTTGACGTCTGGACTGAAGGATGCCCAGAGCTGGTTGAGCGCGCCCTTCTGGGGACTGACCGCTACGATCTTAGTGCCGAGGTACACAATCGTGCCTAAGACGAAGTTGGACTTGCTGATGATGGATTGTGCCAGATTTGTGTCGACAATACCCGGGTGCACGCTGACAATTTTGAGCTCCGGATGCCGCTCGGCGAGGGCAGCGGCGTAGTGAATATTTGCCACCTTGGAAATGCCGTAACGAAAGCGGCTGGGGGTTTCGGGCATCTGGGTCTTGAGCTTGTCGAACTGGTAAATGTCTTTGGGCGCCCAGCCTTCCGCGCCCGAGGAGAGGAACACGACCCTCACGTCGGGGTTCTCGGTCGCCGTCTTCTTCAAGGTAGGCATCAGGAGTTGCGTGAAAAGTGCATGACCCATGTGGTTTGTACCAAATTGGATCTCGTAACCCTCCTTTGTGAGGCCCTCCGGCGTCGCCATGATTCCAGCATTATTGACGAGAAGGTCCAGCCGAGAAGAAGACTCATTGAACTGCTTAGCGGCGGCTTTGATGCTTTCAAATGAGGACAATTCAAGCGGCAGATGAGAAATTGGCGCGACGCTGGAGCCTTCTTTCCTCAGTGCTTCAATCGCGGCTTCACCCTTCTCCTTTGAGCGTCCTGCGAGATAGATATGCCTAGGGTTGTGCTTTGCAATCTGTCGGATGGTCTCCAGTCCGAGGCCGGCATTTCCACCGGTGACGAGAACGACCTTTCCTGTCAAGTCTGGGATATCAGAGTCCGGCTTGAAGTTGTAGCCGCCCATCAAAAACGCTGTCGCCATCTTCAAGTCTGTGTACTTTAATGCCTACGTCGTTTGATGTTTGAATCTGTCTATTGTTGATCGTGATTGCACAAGCGACGAAGAGCCTCGCG